AATTGCAAAATCTCAACTCGTCTGATTTCTCTTTGAATTTTTATATTCCCATTCAACCACTGAGATTTACTTTCACAGCCCATTTACTTGCCGCAGCTAGACTAAGAAAAAGATTCCCCCATTTTAAACTAAGGATAAAATACGGTTCTTTACTTTTATTAAAATGGTTTCGTGTAACAACTGAGAGTCATATCTACTTAATAAGCAAAATTAAATAATTACTAAAGTCAACTGCACTTACAAGCTTTGTAATATTAAAATATCAAACAATCGAAATATAAAGAAATATAAAACCAAATATATGGACGTAAAGTGTACAAATTAAACTAAAACATCTCTTTTTATAAACCAAGATGATCGATCAAAGAGCTATAATAAATCAAAATTAATTTGAGAGGCCTTTGAAATTAAAAAATATCCTTACTTCAATAGGGAAGATGGCTGGCAATTATCTAAAACATGGGAACCCCTCACCAGAAATGTTTTAACATTTCTAACATTGTATTTATACCATGATCGCATTGCAAAACCTAAACACAGTTAGCGCATTCCGCACGCATCGAATACAATGAAATTAGGAATTCGTTGACTAAAATTGACAATATGACAAACTGTCAGACAATTTAATTTCGTTAAAATCAAAACTCTAGGTTAAAAATATTAACTGTAATATGAATGTGTCCATTAATCTTCTATATATACAGGGTGACTGGTGAATTACTATCAATATTTAAGGAGAATACTCGGTACATGATTCTCATTCGAATTATGTAAAAAAAATAGGCACTTAATTTTTGACAAAATTTCCGTATAAATAAGTAAAGTGTTGACACGTTCCAAGTGTTCAAGTGTGGACGCGTGCGGCGGCTTACTGATACAACACTACGTCACAACACGCGTATGTGTGAGTGTCAGTGTATACCTTATCTGTAGGGTGTTCACACGATGCGTAATTAATTACATAACTTTTGGTTAACTTTTCTTAGAAGTTTATTAATATTTATGTTATATTAATTTTTATTTCGTCATATATGATCGTCAAATATCACGTCCTCAAATATCGATAGTAATACACCAGTCACCCTGTATAAAAATGGATTGCTGTTCCTTAGTCTCGATAAAACTCGAGAACAGCTGAACGGATTTATCTTATCTTAGTCTTGAAATGTTCGTGGAGGTTCAGGGAAGGTATAAAAGCTGAAAAAAATTGATTCATTACTGAGAAAACCATAAAAACAGCCTTTTTCTATTTCCAATACAAACGTTTTTTCTTGACATTAGATTTGACAACTAACTAATATGTCAATCATTCTGTCGCACTTCAAAACACGGAGATTTATGGCTTACAGGTAAACTCCAAAAATGTAAATAAAAAAACGTAATAGATATTTCTTAATTATAGGGCGATACGAAGTTCGCCTGGTCTTCTACTAGTAGTTGTATAAATCTGTGATACTTGTAAAATATTTGTGAACTGTAATGCGAAATGCGATAGTGACCGAAAAATTTCTGGCAATGTAATACTAGTGCATATTTTTACGTTTACTAAAAATTAATGAAAATTTTAAAATATTTTTAATTCAACATAGAACTAAGTAATACATATAATGTACGTGATCAACGTTTTTTTTTAATTCCTTCTTTAAATGAACACGGAGAATAAAGAGAAAAAGCAACCGATAAACCACTGAAGTTCAGTTAGAAACAAAAAACATAAGGCATCGGTAATTTATTTTGAAACGCTTTTCTGTATAAAAATGGAATAATTTTACTATGCTTCATAATCCTGTAATTATTCGCGTGAATTCAATATAATTTTATATAACAAATATAATTATATGCAACAGATAATCTAGTTGGTTGGATTTTAACTTAAATTGTTGATTGTAAAGCACTTCAGCCAAATAGCGGATGACAATTAAGAGCTATATAACAATTTAATCACAGAATATTCAATTAACATTATACCGTGCAGCAAAGGATTAGACTGTATTATTGGAATGCATTCAATATTACTGCCTCATATTAAAGCCGGTATTCAATATTATCACGGATTGATATTACGATAATAATAAACGAATTTACACATTTTAAGTCCAACAATCGTCTGTAGATAGTTTAAGTGTAGCAAATTTTTAATAAACAATTTAGTATAACAGTGTCCGTATCATATATTTTACATAATCTTTCAGACTGCAGAATCTTGTATCTATGTTGTAAAAGTTTCATTCTGTAATCAGAGGCAGCGAGGCGTTTAGTCGCGATTATTCACCCAATGAACTAAGAAACGACTATCAATGTATAATATATATATACAATACTTTCAGTCCATATTTTATACATGTCCATAAACAAGTTAAAATAAATCTGTCTTTTTCAAAGCCTTCAGCTGTAACAAGCTATTTTATTACATTAATAAATGACTGACTTTAACAGAAGATAAGTGTATTATACTTCTTATGCTTGTTGATGCTCATATAACTTTTACGCATACTAAAATCCTAGAGTTAATTGTAAGGAAAAATAAATAAAAATGGTAAAAGTTTAAAAACCTTATTATAAATAGAAAAAAAGACAAAATTAGCTTTCCCTTTTACAGTATTGGTTAAGGTCAACGTCCTAAGTAGGAGTTTGTTTATTAATTTACAATGACAGCCAACATTTTTCATTAGAAATCTTTGGAAATTCTACAACATATGAAAAGAAATTACTTTAAATATATCGTCTTAAAGCAGTCTTTGTTAAGGTTGACAGAATGTTCTTTTAAAACAAACAAATAATTTAAGGGAAAGAATAAAGCAAAATAAATAAATAACGAACATTCCAATTAATTTTGTTAAATACCTGTTCCGATATTTTGAAGAAATAGTACAAAATATACTATATAAAAAGCGTTATTTTAAAAATATGCACTATCCAAATTCCACATTTATAATTTAAATTTAAATTACGATCTAATATCAGTTTGGTTAAATTTTAAATTAGTTAAGTCGTTGTTGAAATTTAAATTAGTGAACGAACGAAGTTTAAAAGCGTCGTTCGCGATAAGGGGATGAATTTCTGAGAGTCATGACCAAACACTTACATAATAATCTATCATAGCGATAACAATTTGATTTAAATTTTATTTATATCTGTGTTTAGGAATACTATTCTTAAGAAATGTCAGATCTGGGTTATTCTAGGGTTGTTACGATAATATTTCAAAAGTGTTTTTGTCTTTTTCCAGATATTTATAATGACAATTGTAATGAAGGGACGTTGTCTAATATTATATTAAAAACGCTTTGGAAAAAAACACAATATCATAGCTTCCTATAATTCCTTTCCAAGATTATTTAAAACTTTTTCTTGCATTTCCTTACTACTTCAATTAGATTTTCGTTTAAGATATTCAATAGTAATAGTTACGAAAGTTACATAACATTCTGTTATTGCTAAATTTCGTTTCCTATTCAATAATACATATCTTTTTAGCTTTTACCATAATCTAGATACAACTTTCAGTAATACATACCTGTAATTCGTTGTATATTGTGAAAAATGATCGAAGCACAGTTAATGTAACACTCAAATAAAACGCTTGTTTCCTTACTATAAACGACAGAAAATATTCTTATCTATTCATTCATTGAGTTCATAAATAAAGATAACAAAAACTTATTAACGAAGTTATTAATAAAACTAAACTTATCAGAGCGAGGGGACGCTGGGAAAAATAATACGCAATTTAAAATTAGATATCGATATACATATACATATATACAAATTCTTGGTAACAATGTGCCAAACGAGTTCACAACAATTTTTTTTATGTAAATATATATGTAGTTACCTATTTGGTTTTTAAAAAATATGAGTCAATTGTAGAATCTCTGACAGTTTGCAGGTACTTTTTGATTTTATATTAAATATTTTTGAATCAATTTAAACTTCCTTGCTATAATAATGTCATATAATCTTCAATGCTTATACGAAAATAAAAAAATATGCTATAGGAAATTCGTTCTAATGAAACGTTGGCTTATTTTGTACTTTCTTATATTTAAAAGAACAATTTCAAACTTAAAATGCAAAGTATTTTGGTAGATTTAAAAAAACTCATATTAAAGGTACATACATATGTAAATAGTCTGTCTGATTTCTTATACATCACACGAACTAATATGCTTTTTACTCAAAAAAATGAACACAATAAAATAGAAAAAACTCTGATATATCTAAAATGTTCATTATAAGACTGCTAGATAATAATGAATTGTCTTAATTTGTACTAGTATCGTGAAAACATAGCATTCAGCGCTTGTAGAAACTATATTGCTAAATAATAGAAAATAATTCTTATATTTTTGGGTTATTTATACTGGTATAACTATTTTAAAAGGGTCCTTTTTTTGAGTCAACATCATTTTAAAGGGTTGCCCTTATCTCGAAGTAATATTAGGGGTTCCTTTGTTCGAATGAATAACAAAACGGGATATTAAAAAGGAATGCATTTCGCAAATTAATTGTCTCTTTTTTATAAATATTTATTCCTTATACTATTTCGCTTTGTTTTCTGATTTATTCGAAATATTATGTTTTATGTAACCTAATTTGTTATCACGTGTTTAACAAGATATATTATTAAAACATACATAATGACCAATTCAAGATGTATATCTACGCAAAAGCTTACTTATATATACATAGTATATATAGTATAAATCAATCAAATCAGTTCTAGACGTTCAGTTAAATAAAACTACATGTCAAAACATTTGTATCTGCAATAAACGCAACATGATACATTATTTCCGCTGATGCTCCCTACCCATACAATCCCGACATAACCCGACCGTATTAAAAACACTAAACTAAATAATACCAACATTATTCGGCCGGTTTATAATATTAAGAATTAAAAGTAAACGCTACTGGTGCTTGTTTTAGATAAGTAATTGATAAAACTGTTTACTTTGACCCCTCAACGACCCGCGCTACATGATTTTCGTCATTCGATGAGTAGCGTGCGAAATGCCAAGTTGAATCATGATATGAAATTTAACATTATGTATTGGTGTGTGATTTTTGTGGTTCTGTGCATAACAAGTGTACGTGCATCGGGAAGTACGTATAACATTTGTCCTTTAATTATTTTTATAATAATGATTACATACTTTAACATTAATTATTATCAAACTACCCTACAAATAAATAATTTTCGTGCAAAAGATTATGAAATTTATAGATTTTAAGCTAAAATTTCTCCCTATAGATTAAGAAGCATGTTAAACTTTACCCATATATTTTTAGGTGTAGAATGTACTACGAAGCTCAACATAGTCTTTAAAATATCTCATTATCTGTAACACTAAGTAATACTTTATGATTTTACTCGTATTTCATATTAAGTAAAGTCGATATTGATGTAAGCTTGTTAATTACAATAAAGTACAATTAGTATCCGCAAATATTATTGATAGAGAAGTAATTATGTAGGTTATATTAATTAAAGCATGCACTGATTAAATATTTACTTAAACAAACAAGATGTATTCGACTTTGTCTATGATAAGAAAATTCTATGAATGCAATTAAATATATTTCTGACGTTGCAGTTTTTGAGTTGTTTAAAAGAACAGTCGAAGAGTCGTTAAGATTACTCTTTGGAATCCAAAAAATTGGAATTCTTGTATTGGTATCCGATTATAAATTATACGAAGTTCACGGGGTTAGCTCAATAAAAATGATTCATAATCGAATTTAAATGTGCTTGGGATTTTTTTGGGAGTCGACATCCAGTAAATGGTTGTTCTGACAGATGTACGTATTCTATATAATACCTCGAAACATAAAGATAGTAATTATACCCTGTCTTGTTAGTATATACAAAAATAAATATGTGAACTTTAAGTTATACTATAAAAAAAGTCAAAATTTTATTGTTTCTTTTTTTAATAGTCGAAATTAAATTCTTATAATCTGCCTCTTATTATCTCATTTACTGGAACTGTATTCAACGGGAAACGTAAAAGAGATATATTAATTTATCACAATTCCATTAAACAGTATCGAAATGGACAATATTCTGATTGATACTTAATTAATTTAAAATTTTAATGAATCTTCCTCAAGTAAAAAATTTTTGACAAATATTATTATTTCATACTGTTACTGTAGCTTAAAAAAGGTATGATGAAATAATATATATCGTAGTACATAATCGGTTAACATTAAGTATATCGTGTCAAAATGACATAAAAAACAAATTGACACGCAGCTCAGGTACCAAAAAAAAAACACGCACACCTACACACAAGCTTTGACATCTAGAAAACAGCAGAATTTAATTATTTTTTTTTATAAAACAAATTTTAATATTATATTTGTATTTTAACTTTAAATATATATTCAAAGAGAACAATTTTTCAATATTTAGACCAATCGCAACGCAGTTATCTCGTGTCGTTGGTTCTCAATACTCAATCATACCATATTCAACAAGGATTTCCATATGATAGCACAATAAATTTACATTGCTCTGTTTTGTTTTGCATTTCTTTTTGATATTGTATAATAGACCAAAAGATTTTTTGTTTATATTTAACTAAAAACGAATACTAATTTCTGTTAGTTTACATCACAAAATCGTGATCTACAAAATCAGGTTTTATCTCCATATGACAATGGCTTTCCAAAACTTAAAGAGGGGCTATTGTGGGTGTAATTAAACATACTTATTAAGAAATAATAAAATTACTTACAACTATTAATAATATCTTCCTATACTAATATGTTTACATAAAATTTAAATCGTGACGCTTCCTACGAGGCGGTTCTCATTCAATAACCCACGTGAATAACTATTATGTGCGAAGATTTCTGAATGAAAAATTGTTAACCTTTAGTGCGTAGTGTGACGAAACATGATTGATTGATTGAACATAAAGTAGGCTTATTTGTGGAAGAAAATTTACTTGAAAAAATACTTAACTGTTTCCGATTTTAGCTGTTATATTTAAAAATATGTTTATTTTATTATACTTATAAGCTGTAGCTTTCTCTTTCTTGTAAGAAATTTTTGTTTTATTGATAGAAACAATACAAATTTTTACGTTTCATTAAGCTAAGGTTTTTTTATTTTTCAACTTTAAGCCATTAAATTACGATTTTTTATAAATTCATTCCTCTTTTTGATACCTAGTTGTAAATGTTTGACGAAAATAGATTTTCGTCAAACATTTACAACTTCTTTCTCTTTGATTTATTGACCTGTTTTCTGTCGAACAACTTTAAGTCTAAATTTCTATCCGAAAATATCTAGTATTGGAAAGAACAATAATAATTGTAGAAATTAATCCCTAATAAAACCTGACTTTTATTGTATTTTTACTATTTTTTAAAAACTATTTATTTGAAATGAAACTAATATTTTCGGATTTTACTTCGCGTTTTATTTTAGAAACTACATACTCCCGACGTTTCGGCTACTTTTCAGCAACCGTGATCACGGGCAGACGAGATGTGAGTGTCTGTCAGTTGGTCTGGTCATTTTATCTCCTACCGCCATCGATTTCTTAATTGTCTTGCGTACCGCTCTGGATGCCGGCAAAATGCGCTCACGGTGTCTCGAGGTCCTGCGGTGTGGTCACGGACATGGGATTTTATATTTTTAAGAAGAGGATCCCAGGTGTTTGATAGGTTCCAGCCATCTTCTCTATTGAAATTTGGGTGTTTTTTAATTTCAATAGCCTCGCGGATTAACCTTGGTATATATCTGTCTTCACGAGCGAGGATCTGTGGTTTATCAAATCTAATGTAATGGCCTGGTTTGTCCAATGCATGTTCGCACACTGCTGACTTCGACGCGCGCCTATTCTTGACGTCTGAAATGTGCTCCTTAACCCTTGTACCGATGCTTCTCTTTGTCTGTCCGATGTATGACAAGCCACAGTCACAATCAAGTTTATATACACCCGCTTGTTGTAAAGGAATGTTACTTTTGATTGGTCTCAAGAATTGGCTCACTTTCTTATGTGGTTTATAAATAGTCTTGATTGAAACCTTCTGCAAGATGTTGCCTATTCTGTCAGTAACTCCCTTTACATATGGTAGAATTGCAGGTTGTCGCTCAACTGTAGGTGGCTTCATCTGGTTCTTGCGATGCTGGCGAGGCACGGGCAGGCTGTTGATGGTCAGAGCACGTCTTACATGCTGCAGCTCGGCCTCTAGGTGGTCAGCATCACAAAGGTGTTGTGCTCTCTGTAACAAAGATTTACCAACGGTAGCTAACTGTACAGGGTGGTGGTGTGATTTACCATAGAGATACCTATCCGTATGTGTGGGTTTCCTATAAACAGTATGTCCCAAAGTATTGTCAGGATTCCTGATGACTAGTATATCAAGGAAAGCTAAAGAATTATTTGCCTCTAATTCTCTAGTAAACTGGATCTTATTATTGATAGAATTAAGATGGTTCAAGAAAGCAGATGTTTTGTTTTTATTTAATATTGTGAAAGTGTCATCTACATAGCGTTTATAAATTAAGGGTCTTATTGTAGGAGAGCTAAGGGCTCGCACCTCGAAGTCTTCCATGAATATATCTGCGACAACGGGGGAAACCGGCGAACCCATTGCTACTCCATCTACTTGTATGTAGAATTCATCTTTCCACATGAGATAGCCAGATGTTAGGCAGTGCTTTAACAATTCTGCATATTCAATAGGCATCTTATTATCCTTTAACTTACCTCTTACAATCTCAATGCAGTCAAGAACAGGTAGATTAGTGAATAATGACTGTACATCGAAACTGAGCATAATGTCATTGTCTGTCAATTTTAGGTGTTTAAGGTCATTGACAAACTGGTAGGAATCCTTAACAAATGACTTTGTATGGCCTCGGAGTGGTGATAATATCTTTGAAAGGAATTTAGCCAGTTTATAAGTTGGTGAATCAATCTGGCTTACAATTGGCCGTAATGGAACATCTTGTTTATGGATTTTAGGTAACCCATACAATTTTGGTGGTTTTGATTTTTGTTTTATTTATTTGTTAAGATTTGTCAATGTAACTTTGGCTAAAATGAAAAAATAGAGAAATTTGTGTTTAGGTGAATCAAGTAGAATTAATCAAAACTAAGAGCTTACTCGTTAGCTATTTTGAACACGTGATTAAGGTTTTTTATGTTTATCAAACGAATGCTGCCCAAAATCAGAAAGAAGACGGAACTTAACTAGTCTTGGTGTTGCACTCCAAGACTTTATACGGATCTTAGACTCGGAAAACTCGCTATCACCCGTTGGCATATTGTTATTTATCAAACCGAATTCATATTTGTGTTAAAATTTGATAAAAAAATCGAAAAAACAACTGCTATTGGTTGGGTTGAACCTACGATTTATGTTATCGCTGCCAATGCTCTTACAAAATACCCTACGGAAGTCAACCTGGTTTTAAAACATTTATACATTTCATAGGGCTACCGGTGCTGTAAATGATTTATTGTATTTTTAATTTTTATTTCTGGTTTTATAAAGATCTCAAAATTTTTTCGTTAGTATGCCAAGAAGTTAAATGACTCTACGGTATCTTCATTCTTGATCTGTTTACCCAAACACCCCGTTCTATCCTCTTTACTTTTCAGCCCCAGTGCCATTCAGTTTATTTGAAGATTATTTTTTTATTTGAACGATAGAATTGATTTAATGATTTAAGAAAACTTTAAAGTAGGTACTAACTTGATATTTTAATTATCTTCGACTCATTATCGTGTCCACATTGTATTGACTATAAGATTTTTCATTCAATTTTTCAATCCGTATAATTTTGCCTTTCAAGTAAATGTTCTGATAGTCATTTCTGTGTACTTATTATACCAATGATCATAAGATTATATACCTAACGTTAACATTCTTTGTTCTAAAAAACTCTTATGTTCTAAGCATCAATTTCTTGTAATAAAAATCAAGACTATCTGCTTTGTAACTGAAAGTGAAAAACGCATATATGACATCAACTAATGCAAATGTTATAAAATAAGTTAGTTCATTGTAAGAAATTTTGAAGGTAATTTGGATTTGAACTTATTGGAATTGAATATAAGATATGTTTATGTTCGAGACTATTCTACATACGTATTCTACATCTTATGTATAAACATATGTACATATATATTACTAGTTCAAACTTTAGTATATAAATCATACCGTTGTTTGTCTAGGAGGTTGGAGAGTATTGTTTTAAGGTCTCTAGTGTCAGAACTCAGCAGTCTAGACCCACTACAAGGTTTGCGACACCTCAAGATCCATCCATTGATATATTGATAAGTTACCGTGTAAAATAGATTAGAATCTCTAATTAAAAAAGTCTAATCTTTAAGTGAAACCCAGTAGCAGACTTTATTATTTATTGATCCTACATTTTACTCCTATATACAAAAATCGCCAATCCGCCTTGAGCAAGAGTGGTGATTAATGCTCTAACTTTCTCCATGTGAGAAGAAGCCTTTGACCAACAATGGGCACTGATAGGCTGATGATGATACAATAACAAAAAGGCTGGACTAAACTAAATATATATAAACTCCTTATAACACTAGAAACATTAAACTGTATAGTAACCAAGTACAAATATTAAAATTTAGTTTGCAGTTCGCATTGGAGAATTATAAATTTTGAACTCTCATGAAATTCTAAACAATAAGTTGCTATAATGATTCTAACACGAGCACTGTTATCTTAAAACATCCTGAAAGGTCATGTTGTTCAAGCGTGAATAAAACAAACACAGCCATAATACAAAGCTTACTTTTAGGTTAAAATATACAAAATCCCCCATTCGTGAACTTCACCAAACATAATCCTAAACTAAACGTTTGTTTCTATTTCGACAGGGTAGCGTTGCGTTACATTTATCCTTTCACTCGAGTAACTAACACCAAAACTGATCCCTCTGTGACAAGGGTGAGATAAGGATCTGAAATTCCCGGATAGAAAATGGACCTTTGGCCATTTCGTTCTTTTTTTCTGTATATCGTTTGGAAGGTTAATTTTCTGCAACTGTAGATATGTTACATACATGTTAGTTTTTAGGGTTCGATTTGTTTTTTCCTGAATATTTCTTATATAATATTTTGTTACATAATCCACAAGTAAATTTAGAAAGGACTAAATCTATCGATAAAAAAATATCAACACGCTTAATAAGAGTTATTTACATATTCATTTTAATAATATTAACATTGTAACTACTATATGAACTACAGAATACTATTAGACAAAAAATTCTTTGTTATATAGAATTTCGTTTATTCGTATTAAAATACAATTTAAAGCTTAAGTGATGAGTTACATATTCCATGAAACCAATAAAAATATAAAAAAGATATTTACACCATTACTGCTCGTTAGAGGAATTACATAAAAAGGAATTACAACCTTATTTTCTACTTTCAGATTCTCTAAAGGACCCATACATTTGCGGTCCACCGACCTGTATACGTAAGTGAAGTTATTTAACATATCTGTTACATATTATCTCTCCATGTTTCATATAAATGTATCTGTGCTCTTATATTCTATTATTATTAAATAATGCATGCCATTGCATATTATTTCCATGCCTTCCTATTCTTTATAAAAAGTTTAAAACTCTTAACATTTTTATTTTTGCAATTATAAAGGATTATAAAGTGACTAATAATAATCGATCCCATAAATACCACAACAAAATGTATACGGTAAAAAAGAATACTTAGGAATTCAAAACTGTAACGTAGTTTATTGAAGATTTATTCTATAATTTCTCTTAAAGGACCGCAATCTATATGTCAAAATAAATATCTATTTCTAATATTTTTAAAACATATCGAAATGATATATTTTAAAGTTTTATATCTATATAAGATTTCTCATTTTAGTTAACCCTCGCAAAACCTAAAGCTTTCCTTTTTTCATTAAAATGATTAAATGTAGAAGTAGAAATTATCTATTTCTAAACTTTAGACAGTGTTCCATTTCACTTACGTTCAGTTATGACAGATGTCACTCACTGCTTAAAGTCTTGTAAACAAACTTCTTACTTCGAAAATCTAGGTATTAACGCTATGTAAATACCTATAGAATTACTGATAGATAACGAGATTAAATGCAATTTAATTGAACGAATTTTAATCCAATTTCCTGTTTTCACCAGCGTCAGAGAAATTTAAATACCTTACGGATGTTAAATATGAATATGAATACAAAGTAAAAGTGGAAACTTACTTCGCCGGTTCCAGTAATAACCGTTCTACTTTAGATGTATCAGCCCAAGTAAGTACTAGAATCGTTACAAAAATATTGATATATAAATAAATCATAAACTATAACTTATAATCTGTCTCATTTTCGAAATACTTTTTTTAAGGCAACGGTTCAATTCATCAAGCCATGTGAAGGTTTACTACAGCTAAGTAATGTCAAACTCAAGGATCAAGATGAAAATTATCCAGTTGAGAGAGCTGAGAAATTTGTACAGGCTGTATCTACACATGACCTTAGGTAAAACAAATACCTTAGAATAATTTAAATCTCAAATGTTTCTTAGTTACTTTACTGTAGATTAGATAGTTTTAAGATAAAACATCTTACATTTTTATTCTGTGGTCTTAGATGTTCTTGTTAAGTATAAAATAAGAGCTTAGCTACTTTTCATAAAACTGTAGTTATTACAAATTAGCATTATACCCTGCAATGGATGTTAATTTCACATATTGAGTTGGTAAATTTGATTATGTGTACCTTACTCCAGGTTATATAGTATTCAGAATAAAAATTGTGATCTCAATTACAAAAACATTTCGATACCTCCCACGTAAGTTGTTGTATCTCCAAAAGTGTAATTTTACAGTAGAGTGTTTCAAAGATTCAAATAAAACCAAAATCTGCATTTATTGATGCATCTTTTTAAAATTTCGTATTTAAATTTAACATAATAGTCTTTTTAATTAATATGCCTATTTGTGGAGATATTGTTGTTATATTGTTCATACGACATTTTACTCCGGAGTAGAAGCTAAAAAAAGTGTTGTATTGGATACTTACAACATTATACCGCCGCGCACAGATAGCATCACTTGTGGTATATGATAGTTACAACTGTATATGGTGAAAAACATAAGTCTTACCCTGTTGTATGTAACAAATACGCGACGCGAGCTCGTGACTTTACCCACCTCGCGCCCCGCGTATACAGTTGCATATACATCAGTTTAATCCGTTCGCATTTGATAATTACAACTTTATGCGTCTGACAAATCCTTTAAAAATTGTGTTTTTGTTGTTTTTTTAATTTGAAGGGATGTAATGATATTTTTTCGAAAAAAAGCAAAATAGCATTTTTGTGGCTTACAACAACTTATGTGGGAGGTATCGATTTATTGCATTCATTTTTACTTCTCTTTAAACGAAACAAATTAAATATAATGAAATGTATATCTTGTTTGTATCAAACACATTTTCTCTATTAGAAATTTTTTTTAATAAATTATATATAAATTTATATTTGATGTGATGTTTTACTTTAACTTTTTTATAAACCACCCCATATAAAAAGGGTACATTTATAATATTTGTAGTTATAAATTCAATTATTTCGACACTATTTTTGTATGGTCAGGAAAATGTAGGTATATAAATTAATTATATAGAAAATATGATATACATTATAATATTTCTCAGGTTTGCATTCCATGATGGCATCATATCTGAGATATGTCCAGATGAGATCGAAGAAGATTGGGTACTTAACTATAAAAGGGCAATACTTTCACTCTTTCAAAATAGCATGAAGAGATTTGATATAGACTTCAAAGGAATAGAGGTATGTAATACTTTGAATTGTTACTTCCTTAAGATATCAATGAATAAAGATTGATAAATTGAAAAGATAAAGCAATTGTAAAAGAGAGAGAGACGAAACCACGAATGGATTCACCGTGCAGGTGCCAGTTCCATGTTAATTGTGATGTGTATAGGAAATACAAATATAATAATCAAGAAAACTTACAAACTTAACGAGTACAAACTACAAATTAATAATTTTTTTCCATATTAATTTTCATATTTAATTTACTAGATTGTTTCTTTCTAATTAACCATTTCTCAATAATGCATTTGTTTGAACTGCTTATATTAAAAAGCACTAAACATTTGATAATTTATATTAACAGCAAGACATTCACGGCACATGTGATGTTTCTTACACCGTGAGAGGCCAAGAGAAAACTAGCTTGATATTAGTTAAGACAAGAGATCTATCATTATGTACGGACAGATACAAATACATGTCCATACTGCAAACTGTTAGATATGACTTCCAGAGTGTGAGTATACCATTTTATTAATGAAATAAACTAATCTATTGATACAGTGTGAAACACACTTTAAGTTGTAAGAAAGTTTTTACTAAGATTTTTATTAAGATATAAACATTTCATTATTGGTCAATAATTGTACTTAAAAAAATATGTCTTACTAAGACTACTTAACTATTGAGGTAATAAAAAGATTAATACTTGACAAAAAAAAAATCATCCCATTGCTTTAAAGCATAACACTCATTGTGTTCTGTTTTTAACTATATATGAACAAATATAAAATTAAAGAACTCTAAGTTAAATAGTTTTTTTTATAAATTTCAGAAATTTCAAACATGGCCAGTACTAAAATCTGAAAGCAAATGCCGTATAGCAGTTGATCATCACATATACAAGTCAGTTAATTGTAGAGAGAGACATTTGTTTGAGCCGTTCTCTGGTAAAAATTCAGGAGCTATGACAACTGTTATACAGGACTTGGTACTTATAAATGAATACAATAGAAGTAGTTCAGAAACTATGTACACTGAAAATAAAGGTAAATTAAGCTTATTAATATATTATAATGTCTTACCTCACTTAATCCAACGATACAAGATAAATTTTGTAAATACACGGGATTTTTACAAAATTTATAGATGAATAAGCTGTATAATGCTACAACAAGATTATTATCTAAGTCCTTTCCCTTTTGTCATTTAATTTCAGCAACTTTGTCATGATATAAAAATTAAATGTTATACCTTTAAAATAAAACAAATATGTTATGCAAATGGAATATGTTGTTTTTAGATTTTTTTATATCATTATCAGGAGATATAAAGACATATACCAAAAACCTTAGCTCGAAAAGCACATAATCTCTTCAGTTTCATGACTATTATAGTAACAGTCTATTGTACATGTGTAAACTCCAAAACAGTATAGTGCAATAAAATAATATGAAACTTATAATAATATAACAAAGTTGATATTCGCTTGCAGCTTGGGCGATGATAACAAAACGATCAAATATCCTCCACCACCACGCCCCAAACATCAGATCCGACACCGGTGAATTGAAATCAGCTAGAGATGTACTGAAATTACTTTGTATGTGAGTAAATTTATCATTACTAATATTTTTTAACTATTGAATATTAGCTACAAATATACCTACACATTTAAATGTCATTCTTAATGGTACATTTTCATATATTCAGGATTAAGCCAAGTTCTGATGATGAAGTAAGGACAGTGGATGAGAATATGGATAGTGGTTCGACCGTAGGTTTGTGGGGCCGCTTAGTGAGATCAGCTCGCAAGTTACATCACCCGGCACTAGCACAGCTATTGGCGAGGGCCCCCACTATATGCGATAGCGCTTCGTGAGTACACACACACACACACACACACTTAATATATATGATAATTTTTAACTACCCTTTTTCTTTCGTCCCACCATTTTTCGGTTGTCATACATATAAATAACGTTTGGATACAACTAAGAAAAAATTAATTAATGACCTGAATTTCGTGAAAAAAAATTGTTAATTGATGCTTGAATTAGATAATATAGAAATAAAAATTTATCATTGCTAGCTGGATTCGAACCTAAGACTTTCGTTATATAGAGTTTCATTTGTTTTCAAATTCATCTTATGTAAGAAATATTTCAGGAAACACATCCTAGACGCTCTTCCATATATAGCGAGCGCTGGTTCAGTAGAACTTATAAAGAACATGATAATAAAGAAGGAAGTTGATTCAGACACACGACACGAATGGCTCATGTCGATGGCCATGATACCACGGTAGGTATAAAATAGGTATTTTAATAAGAAGATTAATTAATACCTATATCATGATATTCCTAAGAATTGACAAATCATACTATTTTTCGGCAATTAGGAAGATTTGTGTTGTATAATTATTTTATTATATTCTGTACAAACTATTTATTTACTGAAATAGCGAGTATATAAAGATAACTAACAAAAACTTTGTTCCAAATTAGTCTTCATGTATGTCATAATATAAAATACATTATATTAAATTTATATATAAATAATTACTTAAGTTTTTATGAAATTACGAATTATTATTGTAGTTATGACTTATTCAAATTAGCTTAAGAATTGATGAAGAATATTTCCTTAACTAAGACCACCAAAACATATGAAATTTCAGATAATATTTGCGACAAATACAATTAATTAGATTATCTTAATTCAAATTTTGGTTTCAAAAAAATTTAAATAATATCTTTAAAGTTAGAAAATTTATAAGAAATCTATAAAGATGTACTACATTTTCTTAGTACTTAGTTAATCTTTGTGTAATTTTCAGACCAAAAATAGAGATGTTAAAGAGTATGTTGGAACTTCTCCAAACCCAAAGGAATGATCAAGTTATAAGTTTCACAGTATCATCCATGGTGCATTCATATTGCAAACATAGTAGAAAAGCGTGTAAGTACAAACTTAATTGATAACTTTATATACTAAACCTACAATTCGTCTTCGCTCACTTTTTGGACCATATTATTGATCTTTTTTCACCATTTATGTGATATTTAGTCCATGTTGCTTTGATATTTTTTGTGTTTAAAAAAGTAACAAATAGACGTTAAAACTTTAATTTTTTTATAAAAATCAAATTTCAAAGTAAGTTTATTTCATTATTTGTTACTCTTGATAGTATTATTCAAATAATGGGCATATTTTTTCTGTGATTTGTGTATAACAATATATTATTGGCAACTTTTGTCTCATAATACAAAGATAAAAATAAATTAAACATAACATGTCTTACCATAACTGAATGTTTTTACAGTAATATTTAATAAAAAGTAATATTTCCATTGTTACTTAATTATAAATAAATTAGGCTAATGTTTAAGCTTAAACCATTTTCATATAATACTAAAGATACATTTCTAGAAAGTATAGATCTTTAAACATGAGGCATATATCATCTTTTTTTGGTAATAGACATGGTATGAATAATGTTTAAATATTATCTTTCAGTGAGAGACTGTTGCGAAGAGGAAATCCCAAAACAGATACTAGAAGAATTCCAAGACATAGTAAACGAAATAATTGGAAGGGGTATTGCAAATGCTCCGAGAGAAGACAGAGATAATGTACGTATCATATAATAAATCATTAAATAGCCATTCAATCTCTTAAGTAATGTAATATAGTTCTTATAGATATTGTAATTTTGATATTATTTATATAGACTTCTGTATATTTATTCCTTAATTCATTTTTGTAATATAAAAATTGGCTTATAAATTTAATTGAAAAAAAAAATGTATGGGGCGTAATTGGAAATAAGAATGGAAATAAGATTGAAAAAACCTTATATTATATACCCTTCATTAAATAATAAAGTTATATAATTAAATTAAAGTAGTAGCTTAATAAAAACAAAAAAAAACAAGTCACTTTTAGCTTGTGAATATATTAAAAAATATTTTATTTAAAAAATTGCCTCTTAGAAACAGTGAATATGTTATTATTAAATCTTTTACTACTTGGAATAAACTTTTATGGAGCTTAAATAAGCATAAATCACTTAAAAGGAGAAAAAAGATTTAAACAGAAAAAATGAAATGATTAAACTGCTTCATATAAATTATTATATTATATTGTTTCAGCTCGTTAAAGCGCTTAAAGCGCTAGGGAACATCGGTGGCTTCAAGCAGGAGTTTGCGGATGTATTAATGAATATAATCGGTGATTCTTTGATTCCTGTACCGACAAGATTAACAGCTATAGATGCGTTTAGACGAACACCTTGTACAGAGACCAGGTAATAATGGTTTAACAGATTTTAAGAAAGAAATGTATGGGTACATTATTTTAAGTTGAACCGTAACTAATTTGGGTGTTGTGCTTTCGAAGATATTATTTGGTGTTATACTCTTTTTTTTTAATATATTAAGTTGAAATTAAGGTGTGCAGCAGTTTAGAAATAACTGAATATGTTACAAAGACAGTTGTTAATTATTATGAAGTACCTACTGGCTTTAGATTATTTAAACCGTATTTTATCATTCTATTTAATTTTTACCTTTTTTAAGTGCTTCTTAAGCGTGTATATATTTAAAAAAATCTCCTCGAGGTGATTTTAATGGAAATAAATAAATATATATTTTATATGACTCCATTGCTAAATTTCCTGCTTTTGTAATAAATTTAACAATATATTTTCTAATATCATTGATATGTGTATATTGTGACATTATAAATTTCTATTTTAATTAAACCTACTTTATTATTACCATTCAAGGGAATACTTCTTAGAAACATACAGAGCCGATCTTGTTGATGTTGAAGTCCGAATCGCTTCTTACTTGCAAGTTATGAAGTGTCCCAATCTAAGTACAATTCGGAAGATATTCCATTCCCTCAAGAACGAAGCTGTTAACCAAGGTATTATAAACTTTTGTTTGATAAGTGTATCATATTAAAAAAATCTATATAGGGATAGTTAAATTTTTACTTATTTGAATTCTTTATTTTCTACAGTGGCAACTTTCGTTTGGAGTCACCTGAATAATTTAGGGCAATCTTCACTTCCATCCAGAGTGGAAATTCAAGGACTTTTATCTGGTAACACCGTACCTCAATTGGAAGATAGCCCAGATTTCAGAATGTTTTCAAGGAATTATGAACAGAGCGTCTTTTTCGATCAATACAATGCTGGTATAGTATTACAGATTTTTTATCTGTAGCTTAATTTATAATCTGTGGTAACAGATTTCTTCATTGTACAATATATTCTATGGTTATCGTATTTAAAGTAATATAGACCCTATTAATACTAGCAATAGAGCTTAATATATTATATCAGAAGAATGTACTTTAATTAAACTTACTTGTAGGTGGTAACTATGAAGCCAATGTGATATTCTCTCCTGACTCATACATACCTAGATCATTGTCTCTTAATTTGACCGTGGATATGTTTGGAGAATCCATCAATTTATTAGAGGTATACCATTATTATGTTACAGTATTAAGTTTACGAATATATTTTCATAAAATGCAAAAAAAATACCAATACCAATACATATATATATATATATATATATATATATATATATATATATATATATATATATATATATTCATTGTAATTCTGAGACATTTGCTAATAATAAAGACACATAGAATATATGTAATTTAATGCACGAAACTGCTTACAGATAAGTACGTTGTTTTTTTTTAAATATATATTTAAGTGGTTCCACACGAGTTTAATTTACTGAAATAACTTTTCAGATAAAAGCACGCGGTGAAGGCTTCGAAAGATACTTCGAAAACCTATTCGGTAACGATGGACCGCTAAGCAAGAATAAAATAAACGACAAAATCAGTAAAATGCGCTTCTTCCGCTCAACAAACGAAGCTGATGATATAAGGGAGAAAATTGATGATTTAGAATTTAATAATAATGCGCTAAAACATAGGTTCCCTACCGCCGAATTAGGGTTCAAAGTTTTTGGTAACGAAATATCTTTTTGGAGCGCTGAAGGGGACGAGGAGATAAGGAAGTCTTTGGAAAGATTGAATCCCAAGTTGAGAATACTGGAGATACTATCGGGGAAGGTAATTCCTGTATACAGTAGAACTCTAATTATCCGAATTAATGGGGACCGGGACCCATTCGGATAATCAAATATTCGGATAATCGGAGTTTTTTTTTAATTGCCATTGAAGAGAAAAAAAAGTTACGTTTTGATATTGCGCTATTTTTTATTGAATTAAATGAAAGAAACATGATATTTTCACATGTTTTAAATATAAATAAATTGTACTTATGTACAAGTTTAGAAATAACAATCATTGTTTTTTAAACATCTTCGTCACTGTAAGCTGTTTTGCGGTCATAACTTGCCGTTGTGCCTACACTGACTTCGCGGAGGGAAGAATAATAGCGCACTTAAACTTTTTTTTAACAATTTTTTTTCTGAAAGTGATTCGGATAATCGGCGATTCGGGTAGTCGGAGTTCGGATAATTGGAGTTCTACTGTATAATAAATCTCATATGTATGTAACTATTAAAAATGTAGTATTGAAGGAATCACAAAAGTAGGCAATAGTATAGAACTCTTGTCATGTCATGTAATGTCATATAATTTTAAAGAGGACGTGTAAGAATCATATTTTTAAATTTTTGGGTCATGTGATGAGGGTGTTACAGACAATTTATTAGTTTCTAAAACCCACCGTCGATTTTATATGCAAGCAATGGCAACAGATAAAAAATGTCATTTTTCATCAATGAAACAGTAATTTAAACAGTCGTCTTTTTTAGGTCCCTTACCTTGCAAAATAATACATATTAGTGACATGATTAGAGATGTAAAGACCTACAAAATTAATTAATTTAATATATTTTTAGGAAATTTCCTACAACAAAGCGTCTCTATTCCTAGACACGACATTCTCAGTGCCAACAGGCTGCGGTCTACCTCTCGGTATGAATCTCATGGGAACTAGCTACGTAGATACAAAACTATCAGGAACTGTTGTAGATAAGTTTAGTCAATCTAGGAATCTGGATTTCGAAGGGAAGATACGACCTAGGTAAGTAAATATAACATTTAAGATGCTAATATCAGTAGTACGGTAAGAAAAGAGTATAGGTCCTAAGACCATAACTTGTAGAACAGCTATCTGTAGAACTTGTTGAATTTGTCGGATAAATAGTAACTAATTACAAAAAAGATTAATAAAATTTATTTAAAGTTCACAACGAATAACAGTTTATTAGTTTATCTTATAAAAAAATATATATAATAGGTATTTATCTACAAAACTGTACCAGAAACCAGCAAATATTTCGATTTTATTTGGTATATTACTAAAACCTAATAAAATTTTTATTTAATAAAATTATTAGTACCAATATTCCTTATTACCTAAATAAAAATCCCGTTCATGTATTTAACGTATAGAATAAGTAATAAAGGTCACTTTTATTTCAGCGTTGCGGTCAATATAGCGGCTACAATGAGTGTATCAGCCGGTTCGTTGGCTAATAGTGGAGTACGTCTATCTTCACGTCTATACACAGCAACGGCATTAGAAGCGAAGCTATCAATCCGCGGCCTTGGAGTTATAAGACTAGACTTGTCCCTACCGAGGGAAAAACAGGAGATATTTGCTGCCAAGTGAGTATATGTTGATGTAATTGTTCTTGCAAACTTTTATTTAACAAGTAATATAAATAAAACTTAAGAATAATTTATATGTAAATACTTCGGGAAGTAATGGGCCAGTACTAAGAAAAGCTTTTACACGTACACCTGGGTTCAAATTATCATCATGTGGAATTATACTCGAGGAATTTCCAGTCGATATAAAATATATATTCACACACATGTATAAGCAGTTGTCAAATGAAATCAGAACTCTCTTTTACAATTGATCAGTCGTATATTTTCGAAGGGTGTTCAAATGTTTAGTTTACGTAATATGCAGATTTGATTTCACGATAAAAATGATTTTTTTTTTTGATTTTTTAATGATATGAAATTTCCTATTATAATCCAAAATTTAAAACTCAAAACTGATTAACAAATATATATAGAATCGTTATTTAAATACAGGTCGGAGCTGTTAATACTACACGGGGATCAAGAGATTCAACAACAAGGTCTCAACAAGAATAGAATAGAACAGAACACTTGTAGTTGGACGACGTTCGACAAAGCAATCGGTATTAAAGTCTGCGCGGCGTATCAGGTATTTGATAGAAATATCAAAATAATATTGTAATTAATAAATGAATAAATAAATCGAATTTTTAACTATATTCTAGAGTTCTAGAGTGACTAAAAATACATTTTATTTCAATTTCCTTTGGAGACAGCAACATCAAAATAAAATAAAAGTGAATGAAAAAAGATTTTTATAAAATTATATTAGATTTAGATTATAGATATTATTAAAATTTTTAATTTAATTTTATCTATAAAAAGATCAATTACATTTTTTATGGAAATATAAACTTTTTATGGTATATATTTGTTGTTATAATTTAATTCAATTAACTCCACAGTTCCCAAATATGACGAATTTGAAAAACGCCCCATACTTCATATTAAGTGGCCCAGCGAAGTATATTGTATCCTTAGAAAAAGCTGATCCCTCGGCTAACACATACGCCTTCCAATATAAATGGGACAAAAACGACACAACTGATGTATTGGATTTCTCATTTGATACTCCAAACAGTAAGGTGGGTTTATAACTATATAAATATACCATGAGTTTTATTTCACATATATTAATTTTATGTCATTCCTAAAACAAGGTATCCTGGTAGAAATTCGAGAATACTGTATTGCTTATATAACATTAATACTTGTTTTTGTTTTTCAGGAAAAACGTAAATTCAACGCTGTTCTACTATTATCGAACACTTCAAGCGTAGCCGAAGTAACGCTACTATCTTCAGAAAGCACTATAAAAGCCAAAGCTCTATACAGAAATATGCCATATGATAAGTCTCTAGAGGCCAGTTTAGATGTAGATGGCAGAAAACAGTTTGACAGTGTTATGGCATTACAACGACATGATATAAAACATGGCTACGTATGGCTCCCACATGCCTATTGGGTGGTGAATGACCAAAAAATTGCTGAATTATCAGGTAATTCATTAAAAAAATTCTGAATATTTTATAAACTAAATCGATGTAATAAAATTATTACTAATATTATTAAATAATTTGAACACCCTGTATTAGTTTGTAATTATTAATTATAAATATAATTTTCCTTATATTTCAACTAATCTTTATTATAATTTCAGGTAGTATCAAAGTAAAATCCAAAGGCGGTGTGACTCAATGGGATATTACAGCCGATTTCCAAACAAAGCAGCTAGCGAGTCGCCTCATTGGATATTACACCGTAAATGGACCTACACAAGGCACAAAATTGCAGTTGGACTACCAGTTTTATAAAACTGCCAAACAAACTATTAAAATTGAGGGTATTTATAGTAAACGGGCTATGGCTTACCGATATGACGTCTATGGTGAACTATCGATGCAATTTACCGCCTACCCCGTATATAACTTCTATTCGGTGTTACGTAATGTGGTAAGTAATCATATTATACATATTACATAACATCTTTTGTAACAAATGGATAGTACTTAACATTTTACAGCTAACAAAAAACACCTATATGTCTTTATTATGAGAATATATATTCACTATATATGTACTTACTTAAACTGTTAGTAATGACTGTTTTTAAATGAATAACAATTTATATTTATGACAAAAATTATAATATTTTTAATTTTGAACATGTTTCAGCAAACTCAAAATCATCTTGACATAGGTTTGAATGTAAGTTCATCTAAAGATCTCAAACTTGATCCGGCCTTTACGTTTGTATACAAAAGGGTTGATAAATTGAATGGTCTCAAGTTAGACACACAAATGTCTTTAAAAAGACCAAGACCGGTGCTTATGAAGTTTCAATATGATCAAGTAAGTTAACTAGTAGTAATTAGCATTATTTTTATATTTCTAAATATACAGAAAAGTATTGTATAAGAAATTACAAGTCTAATAGATTTTTACTTGTTTGACCAATGTTATACTTAGTGAGGCTACTGGATATTTAAAAAAGATTATAGGTTTTCTCCAAATTTTTCTTTTAATAAGTGACAAAAAATACTATTGAGTTCTATTTTCTAGATTTTTTTATAATTTATGATGCTGATCGTGAGATTAAGATGTCTAGTGATAGCTAGATTTCAGCAATGACTATAAAAAATATATATTTAAACTATTTTAGGTTGTTAAATTTTATTAACATAAAAATCTTGTCACTTACATAACAAAAGTTTTCTGGAATTATTTATAACTCAAAAGTGATCCATAATTTGTTATATATCAATCTAAAGTGTTTAATTCTACGACTATCGTCAAAAATAAATCAAAAAATATTATTTTTTTCTCACAGACTGGACCAAAATATTCGGCTCTAGCGCTTCTGAACTTCAATCCAAAATCTCGAGAGATTTTAATATCAGGTTATGTGTTCGCACCTCCCGGCACACAACTATATATGGACGCTGAACTGAACGTGACTCTACCAACATTACATCCATGCGCTATAAAGACGAAACTACATGAGAAACGACCTAATGAATTTCAGGTAGAGCATCTTACTATGCATAATGCTTATTTGAAAGTAATGTCCCTTTAAATTATCATTATTATTACCTATATGATAGCAGACGATACAATAAATGTCATTCTTATTAAATGTACTGTTTATACACATCTTATTTATGTATAAAACGATCTATTTTAATCAATTAGTTAGTAATCGTTTTTTATAATATAAACTCTCATAAATATAACTATTACTATTTTAATTTAAATATAATTACAAGTTCAGTATGTATTACATATTAAGAAAAAAAATTTAATTGAACACTGGATACTGAAAAAAATTACATACATCACATATCCACATAAATAATGGTTCTATAAAACTATTCCAAATAATACGGCTTATACAAGAGTAGAATATTATTTAATTTTATATATACATATACAAAGGTAAATGCAATGGGCGTTTGGTTTACCGGCGTGGATTTCAATATTGACGCAGTTTACCAAGATACCTCCAAAACTAATCTGGCGTCACATAGGCTAAAGGTTCTGATTAATAGCAGCCACTTCAAAGACATCGCTGTTGACGCTAGATTTACTCAAGATAATAGACAAATTACGTTCATCGCTGAGGTACGTATTAATAAAGTGAACATAAAGCTAAATTTTTGGTTATTTCACATAAAAGTAATCAATAATGGTTGAATCTTTAATTATTATACACATATTACCTTCTATTTATTAACAAACAAATCTATTAAAAATATCAAATTTAATCCAGATGAAACGCATAAAAAAGCTATTATTAAATACTATTTTAATATTTCACTTATTCTATTTTGATATTTGAGTGTAATTTACTAGTATATATGAATAAAATTTTTCTTTTCCAAATTTTAATTTAATCGTTAAAAACTCTCAAAATACAATAGATAGAAAAAACAATGTGGATAGTAGATTTATTTGAAGTATGCATAAAACTCAGTAAATCTATTTTCAGCTAAATGAAAATATTAAAATATCATCACTTTGCAAAGGCAAAAATTGATTACATTTTCCTTGACACATGTACCTTGTACTATAAGACAACTGTAAGAACAAAATCTGTCATAATCATTTATTATATACAGGGTGAATACAACGAAGACACTTACAAAACCTTAGTACGATATCTTCTACTATCGGAACAGAACTTCACAGCGTACGGTGAAGTTGACGTTAGCGGTAGAGCTTACAGCTTGAACCTAAACGCAGATCTCAATAACAACACAAACGTCAATATGGATATACATTTTGATCAGTAAGTTCATTATAATATCATCTAAATACGCAACATTTACCTATAGACTATATTTCAGTTATATTTCATGCAACATAGCTACATAATCAGATAATTAAAAGGTTATTCGGTCATTCCGCATTCGGTCAAAATGTACTTCTGTTACTTAAAATTGAAATTTATAATAATTAGCACAGAAAAATCAAGTTCTGAGATACATTATGACTATTGAATATCGATACCGTGCATATATGTAAGTCAATCACAATATAATAGAACAAAATATTATATTCTTTTTCTTTACATTATCTTTTAGTATTTCGAAGTTCTTTTGCTCGCACAAGATATTTATATTAATTATTAATATTACAGACTCCGCGACGTTCATATATCTTACCAAAGATCTGTCACACCAACCCAAAAACGGTTGAGCGCTTCATTCAATTGGGATGCAAACAGAGATCCTTCGCAGAAATTAAGTATAGACGCTCGCTTGAACCACAAAGGACAGTGGCATCACTCTGGGCAAGTCACGCTACACTATCCAGGCCGTGTTGTCAATGGAGAATTTGAATTTTTACTCAAAGGTAATAAGGTCCAAATTACTTTGACATTTGGGAATTGCAAGTTCAGTTCCATAGAGTGGAAAAAATAGAAGAAAAGTTCCCTTAATGTTCCTCTAAATGCAACCCAATATTCCCTTAAATTCAATAAAATCTACATTACTTTCACCTATTTGAATTGATTACATAAAATAATAACTTTTTTTGCAAAATCAATACGATATCTAATTGGTAGTATTATACTTTTGTTTCCAGATTGGTACTGCGAATGGTTGATCAGAATGGGTTGGGCTAGTCCTACAGCTATAGTGTGGCGAGTTAAGGCATATTCAGAGGCTCGCGAAGAAACTGTATACGCGTTGTTATCAAACTTAGCCACTCCGTTATCAGGATGGGAAGATACCAGTTTTAATGTGATGTAAGTTTAGTTTTATTATATATATTGGAGCTTAATATAGGAAAATATAGTTAATTTAGTTCTATATATTTTGAACAAACATAATAAATAGTTTAATTACATAACATTTAATAATTTTCTTGTAGAACTGTTCTCCCATCTATATCATTTATTAAGAAAATTATAAAAACTTAATTACATTTAATTTTAAAATAACTTGAAAATTACATTTAATTTCTTTTCTCTACTCTGTATTAACTTGTATCAAATAGCAGTTAAACCTAAATTAAAACTAGATTAAAACAAATATTATATAATAATACTATTTAGGTGGCGTTACCATGATAATCTTCAAGCTATAAACGGTAGTATGAATTGGCAAGAAGATTATTTGGCCTTTAGTTTGTTAGCCGACTATCTCTTCAGTACTTCAAAGTTCTACGGAGAGATCAATGCCTCTGTCAACTCTACTATACCGACTCTACCAAGAGCTGCCGCTGTTGCAAAACATACAGTTGTTTGGAAGAAGAGCGCCGATACTCTATTAAGTTTCCAGGTATATTGATAGAAAATGTATGAGAATAATAGTTTTTTTGTATAACAATATAACACTTATGCATTGTGCTGAAATTTAAAACAAATATGCTTCAAATATCTTAAAATATTAATTAAAGTAATTATGCATATGGTATATTATTGTAATATTGATATTTTTCAGTACAACGAAGATGGTCTTCTAATGGTGAATTCTTCATGGGCAATTGATAAGGGTCAGAATGAAAACAATATAACTGGAAGAGTAACGCTTCTTACACCTTTCCAGGTAATTATAATTGTTTTTTTTTTTTTGTCCTTATAATTTCTAAAGAATCAAAGTTTAAAACGTATAATATTAAGAAATCAAAAATATTTCAGTACTTTCTTAAATATTTAAAACACCTTTATCTACAAGCATGATACACTTGAACAATATTCTTGCAAATATCAATCTTGTTCTGTTAATGTTATGTATATGCATAGTTTTTTACATCAATACAAAGTTTCACATTTATTTTGCTAGTAAGAATGAATTACTTCAAAATGTCAAATATAATTTCAGGGCTATACCAAAGGATTTCTAAGAACAGAATTCATTTTGGGACACAAAAGAGATATAAAAGGCGTCACATATTTAGATTTAGAGGAGAAGGTTGTGAAGATATATGTCAATGGTATGTAATTTAACAGATAATAATGTACAAATTATATTCTACTAAATTTCAAAATTTTATAATTAAATATTTTTAAAACACATAATTTTCATATTATCACAAAAGCGTATTACAAATTAAATTAATATTTGTTTCAATTACACTAAATATATAGACTGTCACTCACACACACACATAGACACCAATTTTAATATAATGATTATATTCCAGGTCATATGCGTCGTATAACTAACTGTATGTTAGTAGTGAATGTTACTAGTCCAATACCACAGTTCTCACAAACGACAGCTAGATTCGGTTTTGTTGAAACAGACAGACATTTAGTTGCCATGATTGTTACACCGAATTCTACTACTGGTGAGTGATAGCTCAGTTTGTAATATGGCGGTAATGTGTTGAATATTTAGTTATATATTGTGTGTACTAAAGAAATTAAAGGTATTTCCATATTATTGTAGAGGATTTACAAATGTATATAGAAATTAAAATAACTAATTTTTAGATTTCTCAAATTAAAATCAAAGGCTATATAAATGATAAAAATTAAACGTATTAGTTTTTTGTTTATACGTAAATGTGAAAATCTGTAAGTTTGTAGAACATTAAGTTGGTGTTTTGGTCCAAAAGTTTCAGTTTTAGAAATCATAATATAAAAAAGTCTAAACATATTTATCAAATTTACCTTATTGAGTTTTATAATATTTCAATTACTATTTAATATGTTCAGGAATTGAAGTACTACTGCAATTGAATACAATGCAAGACTTTTCAATATTTGGACATGTCGCGCTTCCCATACAATACTTAAATAGAGCAATGATTACTGCCAAGAGAGGTTCCGAAGAGGTAATTATTATCGTTAATACTATAAACCCCACGTTTTTAAATATATCTTGAATAATTTTGGTAAAATTTCATTTATACCATAATATTATGTTGTTTTCTTGCTTTCCACGTTATAGGTCGACTTTAGAGTTGGTTGGGGAACAATGGACTTTGGTTTCACAGGAATATGGCAATGGAAAAACATATTGGACTTCGTATATGTCTATAAATTGTACACACCTTTAGATGGATTCGAAGAAAACGGTCTTGTATTGAAAAATATATACGGAAATGGTCTTGATACTGAGCTATCTATACGACTTTCTAAGCACAAGGTATTATGCTCTCTCAGAATTTTTACATAGGAACTATTTTTGCACGAATTGCTAATGTACTTTTGTACTTAAATAGCTTTCCGCCCGCAGCTTCGCCCGCGTGGAGTTCGGTTATATCGCGTTTGCAAGAGAACCTTTCAAAAGTCTGGGATAAAAACTATCCTATGGTCTTTCTCACGGTCAACTCTATATCTGTACCAAATTTCATTAAAATCAGTTCAGTGGTTTAGGCGTGAAAGCGTAACAGACAGACAGACAGAGTTACTTTCGCATTTATAATATTATTCCAATAACATTACGGTAACATTTACAATTTCTTTTTCAGTTCGGAATATCAATATTCTTAGTTGATAAAGGCAAAGGTCTTTTGGACGTAATTAAAGACAGTTTCCAACACAAAGCTAGTGAATCTGATATGTTTGTTGAAAATTTCGACACGGAGGCGACTATTAATTTGGACACCCTGTATTATCCTACGATAAATTTCCACGCCCACATGTTAAAGGTAAAACGTTGTTCCTAAATACTTTTAACATGATATTTTATAGACCTAATTTCATTTTGCTAATAAAAAAATAACATTATAATTTTTTTATTAATGATTATTGTATTTGGTATATTATATTTAAGACACGACATTAAATATATAATTCTTTTGATATGTTAATATAGTTATACATATTTGCAGTTTGTTGGTCCCGACGAAGAAGATATTTTGGAAGCGAACGCAACACTTCATTTACCAAACAAATCACCGATTGTACTAACAGATGTTTTTATACTAGAGGTAACTTGACTTGAAGTTTAATTATTCAACCTCGTCTTTAAATTATTTTATATATATCGGACTTATCACTAACTCCCTGTTTTTAAAGAGAGAGACGACAGCCTCGCTGACGTCACTAAATGTCACTTATTTCAGTACGTTCCATGATATATTAAAATGAAACTTTAATTATTCTTAATGTTCCTATATATCTCGAAGGTACTTCATAATCACATACTTCAATGATACGCACTCACTGAACTCTCATGAATCTAGACGTCACATTTATAGTCGAATTCAAACATAGTTCTATTCTCCTTTCAAAGAGTCTTTGATTTCGTTTTACTTTTAATAATAGTCATGAATACTAATGAGTTTTTATAATAATTGATGACAGGCTCAAGTTATTTTCACGTCGCATCCGTCACTTAAGTTGATAGCGTCGATATATAAATATTTATAATAATTCGTTATTTTTTTTACCTATATAGGAATACACAGTGATGAGGAACACTTTGAATTTAGTGACGCCATTCCAAGCTGTGAAGCAATTAAAGTCTGTATACACTGTGGATATCGCTATAGGAGAGAAGTTTAATGTGACCTGTGTAGCCTTGCTTTATAATGGGACGTATTGGCATGATGTAAGTACTTAAAATATAAATATTGCAAAATAAAACAGATTTAATTAGTCTATATTTGACTAAGATAAGCATTTGTCAAATTATAATTGCAAACCTCTACGAAAAACCAGACATTCAACTCAATAAATTAAGGCAAAACTAGCCTTATAACTATAACTACAAATAGTAAAACATTTGATTACACTTTACACATTAGTAAAATGATAAGTAAAAATTTACAAAACATTATAACAATAATAAAGTAACGCTTTAGTCACCTATATGTAATTTTATTCCTTTTTTTATAAAGAAAACTATCCTAGTTATTAAGTTTGTGAATGTATTAATTTATTATTGATTTAATATCAAAACATCCAGATATCATATAAAATATACTACGAGACGGAAACGGGTGAAGATGAAGCTTACAAATCATATCTGGCCTCGGTGGGTATAGCGACCCCTTTAGCAGTTCTGCCAGCCTTAGAAGCTAGAGTCTCAGCCCGTCTGGAAGATGCTTTATGGAAATTATCCGCAGATATAGCCATGCCGTCGTTCACTGTTACCGCACTCGCAAGACTTGAGGTATATAAATATATCTTACTCTGTCTATATCTCTCCCTCTCTTTCCCTCCTTTGTTTTTTACTCTTTTGTCTATTTTGAGTTACGCAATGGTGAGTTATTAATCTAATAACCAATAGTTTAAAATGTATGATCATCTTACACAGTACAAGCCTAAGATTTATACAAAAATTTTGAGATTTTACTTCGATGAATGGACATTTTTGAATTTATAAACCAATTAAGTTTACAAACTCTGCCATTTGGTATTATTTGTTTATGACATATGAGTAAAAGAACGAGAGAAAGGTTTTCTTATATATATATTACTAGTAGGGAAAAAAGAAATAAAAAAATTGCAGATGCTGTAAACTTTCTTTAAATACCGCTGTATTTTACTTACTCAAATAATTACTTCTAAGCCTATTTTCTTATAAAAAGTTTTCCTCCCTTCCCCTCCCTCCTATTAATCCATCTCAAAGATAAAATAATTATAAATATCTCAATCTATCTTTCAGCTTGATGATCCATTTGTGGAAACTTCAGGCAGTTTGAACCTGACCTCGCTTTATTTAGAAGATTATTTTATCAAGATGCAATTCAAGAAGGATTTTTCTGACGTCGAGAGCGTTGTCGGCGGCGGAATTCACATACAACAGGGAGAACAAAATAATTATGTAATTAAACTCAACTAAATAAAATATTTTAGACTCAACCATATACATAGCTATAGTTAGAATCATAAATATTTAAAACTTCATATATCATTTAAGTATTTTTTCATCGAATTCTTTAAGGTATCTCAAATTTAGTGCTCATATTTACAATTTGACGTGATACAAATAGAATACGATCAAATCTATTGTACCAAAAAAAAAAAATTCTGGTCAGATAGCATATTACACACATAGTCCTCTAACCGTTTATGATTATATTCAAGTTTTATATTTTAGGTTTATCATATAAATAATTTATTTAATGAGATCTAAGATTTTTGCGACTTTTATTCATTTAAATGAAACTTATTTTTCGGATTATACTACGCGTCTTTATTTTTATCAAAAGCTACATAATCCCGACGTTTCGGTTACTTTACAGCAACCGTGATCACGGGCAGACGAGTTGTGAAAGTTTGTAGTTTTTAACAAAAATAAAGTCGCGTAATATAATCCGAAAAGTAATAGTTTCATTTGAATAAATAATTTATTGCTAAAACACATCACCCTGTGTATACATATAGATCGCTGTTTTAGCGATTATGCCGCCTACTGTACATTTTTCTTTTCTTTGTTTTACTCCTATTATTTTTGTTTATATTTGTGTGCAATATACAGTATATAAATAAATAAATATCACCAGGTATTTGCTGACGTAGTATGGCGTCCCCCGCCCTCTCGCCACGTTCGCTTCACGGCTCGTGGCGCGCTCGTGCCAGTACTTGAACCAGCGGAGATAGCGTTCCAGTTCTCAGAAGAAGAACGAACGAGAACACTCACACTAGACTTAACTAGTGTAGATGGTTACTACTCCTTGAAGGCCGACCAAAGACCGTTGTCGATAAACGTTGCTCTTAGTACGCCGCATAAAAGATTTAGGTATTTTTTTTTTGTTTTGATATCTAAGACTTTCGCGAGTATTAATTTTAGTGAAACTAATATTTTTAGATTATTAAGCTTTTTTCTATTATTTTTCAAAATTGCATCCTCCTAACGCTTCGGTTACTTTGCAGAAACTGTTATCACGTGATGAACTTTTTTATTTTTTTATTTGCAAAGCTACAACAGTGTAATTAAAATATTCAAAAAAATTCCTAATTTGATATCAGTATTGAACGTAACGTAAAAATAATCCTAGACTGATCTGTGACAGTTAGTTTTACTATGAAAAAATTAAACCAATTTTAATACAAAGTTACTACGCAATACAGCAAATTTTCATTGTATTTACCATAAGTTAGGCAGATAGGTAAAGCCAGATAAATATCTAATGTGTAATTATTCCTGTTAAATAACAGAGCAATGAAAATAATTGGTGAATTCGCGGGAGAAGACATCAAAGGGTCGTTCGTTACCGACAGCACCGAATATAGTGTTAGCGGGAAAATGGTTAATAAAGATCCACTTGAGGTAAACACACAAATAAATGATTAATATCCAATCGATTGCTTACAATTTTTCTTTCAAATTAATAATTAATTCTACAAATTTGTGACTACCATAATTATTTTCTAATTTAATATAATAAATAAATTGAAACCAATACAGTTCATAGATTAGTTTTATTCAAAATGTACAATAATACTAATAATTAATTTAAACGAAATATATATTGATCTTTTATTTTTTCTTCTAGCTATCTCTGATTTTGGTACCTAAAGGACAAGGTCAACAAATATCAATACGAATTAAATGTGAATCATCCCCAACATCCTACGCGCTAACGGCACACATTATGGGTCCCATAGAAGCTACAGTACGTGCGAAAGCTGAGGTCGAAAAGAATTTTACTGATGTATTCTTTAAGGTGAGTAGAAATTGATCTCTATGTATTAGTAAATAAAGCACAAAGTCAATTATCGTGTAACCTTAATATACAAACCTATCATTAATTTGATACAGATTGATATGTGTTTCAATGAGAAAAAAAATTCTTTAGTCTTTTGTTTTCATTATATCAAATATAATCACAACTTTATATTAAGTTAAGAATTTCGGTCCTTCCCCAAACATACATATCTTATAAAAATGTTAGTACTTACACTATGATTGCGTTAATAACTAGGAATTTATACTTGCATATATATTTCACAAAAACACATTAACTTATGAAGCTATTACTGTATGTCTATGGCCAAACTACATTTATGTAGTTACAGTTGTCTATATAGTATAAGAGCCACTTATCATAGTTTGTATAGTGTTATATGGTTTATATTCTCCATCCAGGTTGATCTGCCAAAAGTAAGGAGTAAAGAGATCTTCTTCAAGACTCGTGTTGACTCCTATCCTATGTTACGTCGAGTGGTCAGCGTACAAGCCGCTTCACCCATACAAAAACTCAGTTTCGTGAAGGGTGATGCCGATTTTGTGTAAGTTTTATGACAAAATTTTTAGTCCAAAAAGCTCAAATCCGTACGAAAAAGTAACGAAAAAATAATAATATTGTCTTTATCAGTTTTTTTTATGTTCTTACTAGCTACAAAATTAAATGAATACCAATTATGACTATGACTCACTAATATTATAACTAAAAATTTTGCTTCTGTTAATCATCAATGAAAACAAAACCTATTGTTTATGTATAAGATCAGACCGATATAATTTTGTTTTTGGTTTATACATAACACATAGCCTCTTTTTCCCTAATACATGAAGGATTTGAAGCGAACGAAATTTTGCTATATGTAACACATGATCATTACAAATTATTATCACAGCCCTAAACATTTTTTAGCTGGATAAAATTTTTAGTTCCTTATATAATATGAAATATTTTACTTAAAACGTTCTTTTTCATATTTTTTTTGCACACTTTCCGAATTATTTTTTATCGAAAGCAGATAATTAATAAATGTCACTATTATTTTACAGTTTTGGTCCTAAAACCGGTTATCTTCTATGTAAATACGAGCTACCAGATATGAAAGGAGATGGAGATTTGAAATGGAGCTTTTTACTAGGCGATTTATATATACGGGTGAGTATGGAAATTTCTTTTTATATTCCGAAAACTGCCATCTAATTTGAACTCTATTCCCAGGCAGTAGGTGACCAATTAGTAAAACAAATACAGAGAAGTGTTGACTTAGATATATACTTTGGAAACACAACCGAAGAAGGTCTGCCTAAAACGAACGCCGGTTTTAGAATGGATTTGGATCATATCTGGCAGTAAGATATTTTATTATATTTAGTGCAATCTAACATTTCCTTCAAGTTATGCTTAAGTTAATCCCTTTTATTATTAATTATTATTACAATTTTAACCAAAAAATAAATATCTCTTGCTTATCTCTAACAAGACAACGATGATACAACTTACATCACAAATTTTCTATATTCTATGTATATTTTTTGCACAAATATCATTAATTATTATCCTATGGATTCCTTTTAATTATAAAAACACACACTGATATCTTAGAAACTTTTTCCAAGACTTGGTAAAACTAATATATTAATATTTTTTTTCTCCTATGTATAACAGAATAGGTGCGAACGCGTCATTCGGCTTCATAATGGAGCAGCGTCTGAATCTATTCATCAACGCAGTTCTTCCCAAACCAAACGTGGACGTACATTCATTGATGTTAGACGCACGTTTCAACGAGTCACCTGTTACTGTGGAAGCTTTATACTTTACTGATGTCACCGCTGTTAAAGCCGGACTTAAAGGACAGGTAAGAAATTGGTCAAAAACTTTAAAAAGGTCCTTAATAAGATCCTTTTATGAATCTTTATTAGGGATGGAAATATAACAGAAAAATTAAAATCATAGGCAAATCTGGCGCCAATTGCTTACACTATCTATCTTTAACGAAATTTTTATTATATAGAAGTGTTCCAAGCAAAAGGTTATATGTGATAGTTTGTTATTCAATCACGACAAAACTACCGAATTAGATGAATTACTGAATTAGATGAATGATTATATGCAAGTTACTAAAGTGTACTAATGAACACTAGTTTTCATCCAAAAAACAAAATAAATATTCTGGATGCTAATAAAAAAAATAAATTTCCTAATATTTAGAAAATCATTTTACATGTTAACTAACAAACTATATATTTTTTTTCTTTTAGTTGCTGAGCCTACCAGAAAGTTTTGATGGTAACGCAACAGTTATTTGGACGGCAAATTCCCAACACAAGAGCATAGACAATATTGTTTCATACAAATGGGATGTGAATGGATCTAAGTACATTGACTACTCACTTAACACGCCCTTACATGAAACACAAAATACCTTCAAATTAAAAGGCTCATATCAAAAGGATTTCGTTCACGGATATCAAGTTGTTAAGTGAGTATAATTATTATCCTAAACATACGCGCTTTTCTCTACAAATAACTCTATAATTATGCCCGTAAGACACATATTCCTATACTTTTTACGTTTTTTTCTTGCACTCCTTGTTTTTTACCCAATCTTTTTGGAAGTATGTATTGTTATCAAATTCGCGTAACAACTTGTGAGCTATGTAGTTATTTCACTGTAATAACTCTATATAAATTATTTAGAGGTCGCATGCATTCACCTGCTAGTCAACAAATCGGTGAAGTTGATATCACGTACGGCGGAGTAAGACATACTGACGGATACTTCAATATGACGACACCATTCAATACATTACCCTGGCTCAAGAGCATATTTGATGTATGTATTAATATTAAGTTTGTTATTATGTCCTTACGATGCAAAAAACCTCTTTTCAGCGGAAATATCCAATTAAGTTAAAATATCTTTCTAAATTCATATTGTTATGTTTTTAAAAGAATGTTTATATAACATCTGAAATTTAAAATCAAAAAATATGTAGCGATAAAATTCTATTAAAATATTAACGTGTAGAAAATCTTAAAAGGATTAAAAACACATAAAAATGACTACTGAATATTCGTCGTAGTAATATAAATTTAAAATGGATATTTATTAATATTTATATACATATTTATAAATTCAAACTTCAAAGTAATAATTTTAGTGTAGCGGCAAAACCGGAACAGCATTTATAAAATTCTTTAAAGTTACTATATTAATATACTTATAATTTTCTATATCAACTCCTTTATTTACATTCCACAGATAAATAACGCTGAAGAGATTTCCGACAACAAAGTCTACTTGTTCTGGCCAAACAAATCCGCTACAGTTAATACAACGCACGTATACAAAAAATTTGACAAAGGTTTCACTCAAACCGGCACTATATCACTTTCCATTCCATTGAGCACTCAACATTTAGTGAATACGAAATATTATTATATAGAGGAAGAAAAAACCAGCAATGGTAATGCAACTATAGATTTTGATCAAGAGAGATTTGTTAAGGGTTCGTTTAATAAGGTACTTAGTAAAAGTGAGAGGAATTTAGACCTTGAGACTATGAATATAGAGGTCGAAAACGTACATACACCAGTGGGTGTTAAATATATTCATGAATACGATGACACTGGTAATATTGTAAGTATTTCATTACAACTGAATAAATATAGTAGCCTATAAAGTTCTAAGCATATTTCTTCCTATCCATATAAATTCTCACTTTACCCAGGACGTAAAACAAGCAACAATATTCCATTTACTGAACGCAACCAAATTCAACGTGACCGGAAAATTAGATACTCATACATACGACATCGGCAAAGAGATCAAATTCACAGCAATGCACGGGAATCGAACTTGGAACTTCGAGAACAAATACGAAGCGGCTGATAAAGAATTGAAACAGGGAAGCAAAGTTACATGGGCCGAGGATGTGTGGATACATTATGACATACATGTTACTAATATGACTGAGGTATAACAATTACGAATAAACACTAAATCGAATTTAAATGAAACTAATATTCTTCGGATTATACTACGTGATTTTATTTTTGATGAAAACTGCATACTCCCACCGTTTCGGCTACTTTTCAGCAACCGTGATAACTCGTAGTACATCCGAAAAATACTAGTTGCATTTAAATGAATCAGACTCGCGAAAATCTTAGATCTCATTACTAAATCGAATTCTCATATAACATTGCGAACAAAAATCCCTCCAATACCAAAATATACCATGATTAGTACTAAAATTAAATTCACTGCACCGATCTTATTTCTTACTAGCTGCGCCCCGCGGTGTTACCCGCGGATCTTTGGGATTTCTGGGATGTAAAGTAGCCTGTTGTTCCTGGACGTCAGCTTCCTGTATACAAAATTTTATCAAAATCGGTTCAGCCGTTTGAGCGTGAAGAAGTAACAAAAACATACACACACACTCACAAACTTTCGCAATTATAATATTAGTAGGATTATTCTTCTTAATTATTATTAGATGTTATATATATTTTTAACGTTTATACGTATATATGTATATTATATAATTGTAACAGGCGGACACAGAATCTCAGAACATAATTCTGAACATACTGTATCCAAGGCGAACGTTCCAAGCTCGCGGAGTGTACCGTCTACAGGATGCTCTACTAGATGGTAATATAGTATTATTATGGGATGTCAGAGGCGAGAACAAGACCGCGGAATTGAAAGGAAAATGGGAAAATCCACCGATGGAGGGAGGGAATTTACATGATATGTACCTAGCTTTATCACATCCGTCTTTCAGAAAGGTGATTTTTTTTTATTTCTATTAGCATATCTTTCAGTGTATTGCTATTTTTTACTCGGGTCTACCGTTAAGATTCATAATTTTATATTCTTACTAGCTGACTCAGCAAATATTGTTTTGCCATATAAAAAATAGGGGTTGGTATTAAAAAAGTAAAAATTTAAGGTTGTATGTATTTTTTAATGTCACATTATAAAAAAATTTTAACCAAAAGATTTTGCCCAAAAATTAATATAATGTAGGGGTGAACAATTCTTATGATTTAGGGGTATGAAAAAGAAATTTTGGCCGATTCTCAGACCTATTCAATATGCTCACAAAGTTTCATGAGAATCGGTCAAGCCGGAACGAACATTGTGACAAGAGAATTTTATATGTAAGATTATAAAATTATTTTAATAAAATACAATTAATACATACATTTACATATTTTTTTTAAATATTTCAGGATGTAACACTAAAAGGTCAATACCTAACAACGGCGTCGGTAATGTCAAATCTATCTATGGAACTTCAATATTCAGACTACGAGAAGGAATATTTGAAAGTTCAATCTATACTAATGGATAATTCAAACGGACCTATTAGAGATTATAAATACATATTAAAATGCACCCATCCCGCTACAAGTCTGGATTTGGATATGAAATCTGATATTAACATCCACAGTCGTTGGTACTTCATAGATAATTATTATAGATTCCAGAAATCAATGTTCTATGAGAAACTGAGAAGCAATAAACTATTGATAGATTTGAATAATAGCGGTGTTACTTGGGAGGTAATGTTTATTTTTATTATACAGGGTGACTGGTGAATTACTATCAATATTTAAGGAAAATACTCGGTACATGATTCTCATTCGAATTATGTAAAAAAAATAGGTACTTAATTTTTTGACCAAATTTCCGTATGAATAATTAAAGTGTGGACACGTTCCAAGTGTTCCAAGTGTGGACGCGTGCGGCGGCGTGCTGATACAACACTACGCCGCCGCACGCGTGTTTGTGTGTGTGTGTATATCTTTTGGTTAACTTTACTTAGAAGTTTATTATGTAATATTTTTGTTATATTAATTTTTATTTTGTCATATATGATCGTCAAAAATCACGTCCTCAAGTATCGATAGTAATTCACCAGTCACCCTGTATACCTATATTATATTTATGACAGTAGTTTTCATCAAAATAAATAAAATTCAGTAAACTTATAAGGAAGTTTGGAAAATTTAATTTTTTTTTTTCAGTACCAAATTGATATCTTATTATTTGATTTTCTTTCATATGATTATATGAAAAATAAAATTATAAACTTAAATTAAACTCCAAAATATATGATTTGGAATTAAGAGTTGCCAGGATCCAAATATGTGACTTTTGAATTTTTGCAACCCTCTCTTTCCTTATATATTTCTTGCCCATATTAATAACGTTATAAAATTTAATAGCAAATTTATATAAGACTAAAAAAATACTAATTTAGCAACAAATTAGTGCAATATACTCTCAAATACCTAATTTTCACTAACCAAAATATTGTTTAATTTTTCAGCGCGCCAACGAAACATATTTCTACAAGATGAATGGAACCTGGTCTTTGGTTTACCCAAGGTATATAGCTCGTGGTTTGATTAAACGACCAAATGCCAATGACACTTTAGTAGCTGAACTATCAATGATTGATAAGTCTTTGGTAGCGCATTACAATAGCACTGATGGTGAGTTTAGAGTTTTTATGTTAATAATAAGTAATATTGTCTATTTTATAGTAAATTGATACTAATTTCTGTAGCTCCCAAAATTATTATCCAAGACTTGTGTGATTTAAAATAATTAATTCTTATATATACAACTAGCTGCGCCCCGCGGTGTTATCCGCGGATTGCCGGGATTTCCGGTATGTAAAGTAGCCCATGTGTTATTCGTGGACGTCAGCTTCCTGTATGCAAAATTTTATCAAAATCGGTTCAGCCGTTTGAGCGTGAAGAAGTAACAAACATACACACTCACAAACTTTCGCAATTATAATATTAGTAGGATAAATATAGCTATGTTTTCCTTATATCCGGAAACGTTTTGCCAGAAAAGATTTTAAAATATGTATTATAACACTTCATATACTTTTTTGTTTCAGATATATCATACCACTTAATAGGCAAAATAATAGATACTAGATCTGCTAGATTAGACTCGTGGAGGAACTATGATGACGTCACCACCGTAGATCTAGCTTCATACATACGTTTGAATCACTCACGCCTTCTAACTAGCGCTATAGTATGGCGACCGGAAATATTCAGCGAGGCTAAATCACAAGCTATATATACATTGAAGATATTATATGAACAAATAAATGATACATTACTCGTTATCAAAGAAGCGCCTATGGAAGCTCATCTTGCTTTAAGGAATATATGGAGTGATGCGAAGCCGAGAGTTAGAGAATTTTTGGATGATTTGAACGATTTACACGTTATTAAAGACGATTTGGACGAATTCGAGAGCTTCTTGAAGGAATCATACGATCATAATGACTTTTACGTTAAGGATATAGTGGAATTTACGTATTACGTACTAGACGAAATGGCTATAAGAAATCATTTGGAAAGTTTGCCCGGATTCGTAAACGATATGTGGGGAATGATGGGCAATACTAGCCAATCAATCAAACAGAGTCTGACATACGTGGTTGATTCAATAAAAAAGGCTTACGCGAATTTCTTGGAAACGGTTAACAAAATCTTAGAAGCCGATTTGATGGAGCTTGTATCGGATAAATTGGAAGCTATGATATTACAATACGATAACTTCATTAGGGATCTGCATATGAAGTTTTTGGATTACTGGGAAGAAACTTGGGTGAACGCTACAACAAGACTATCAAAATATTGGCACGATTTATTAAAGTCCATAGAGCCGTTATTCTTCAAGGTAGTGCATTACAGTGAAGCGTTTGTTGTGACTATTTGGCGAGGAATAATGGACTTTTTCCATGAAAGGACTCACGAATTGACGGATACACCTTACTTCAATTACGTTTCAACGTTCGGCCATGAAATGGATCGGTGAGTTTTTTTGTATTAGATACTAGCTTTCCGCCCGCAGCTTCGCACGCGTGGAGTTCGGTTATATCGCGTTTCCAAGAGAACCTTTCAAAAGTCTGGAATAAAAACTATCATATGTTTTTTATCAAGGTCAACTCTATCTCTGTACCAAATTTCATTAAAATCAGTTCAAAGGTTTAGGCGTGAAAGCGTAACAGACAGACAGAGCTACTTTCGCATTTATAATATTAGTAAGGATATATTTTTAACATAGAAATGATAGATAATCTATATGAACAGTATTCATTTTTGTACTTTATTCCAGCATATACAAAGATCTCATACACAATGACATCATAACAAATATAAAGAAATACACCAAGAAACTTGTTAATGTTATTTGGACGAAAATAGAAAAATACATTCCATTTACTGACGAATTCAAACAGTTATTCAATGAATTCAAGAACGCCTGGGAAAACTTCTTGAAGACTCCGCAAGTGGTCTACGTAAGAGAAAAGGTATTAAGATATTTCAAACAACTATTATAATATGACTTAAAACATGACTATATTAATATTAACATAATAATATTACTGTCATAGTTTTTACACAAAAAGCCAAATAGTATGTTTTTTCTGATATTTACCCTTCCGTTTTTATTCTCTTTTTAATATTTTTACAATAAATTTAAAGTTAATACTGTTAGTTGACAGAATATCATGACTCCGAATATTATTTTAATTTAATCTTCTAACTATATTTTTTGTAAGTAGTGGTATTTTTTTTTAAATTTCACCATTTTTTTTTTACAATTTCTTATAGTACAATGAAGCGTACGTTCGTCTTCGATGGTGGTACGACTATTTCCTTATCGGCGAAGCTTTGGACCAAATTTGGGGAATCGTTTACGCCAAGGTCACTGACCTCGCGAAAACCGCATTACAATATGAAGAACTGTAAGTATTCAAAAGTTACATATTTCATATATATGTATATCGTCGGGGATAGTGCAAATTCACGTAAATACCATTGGATAATTCCGCGTATCTACATTGGAAGCTTTTTTAGTGGAAGTTGGAAGATTATTTAGTGTTTAATTTATTACTAATTGTGAAAAAATTACCTTAAAAGTCGTTAATTTAGAAAATATTTCAGCTCAAACTTTCTTCTGATAATCTGCTTCCAATTTAGGTGCACGGAATTATTCAATGGTAGTTACGTGGATTTGCACTATCCTAGACGATATATTTCATTCATGACTGAAAAATCATATAAAATGTTAATATTGATATATTGCAATTATATTCTAATCTATGTTTGTTTCATTTTTCAGACATAGAACTCCCAAAACGAACTTTATATTCGATCCACAGAAGGGCGAAATAATTCTGGAACAAAAATTACCAATGTCGTGGCACGCGTTTAATAGGACACCAGATTTCAGTGAAATATCTGAATACAAAGCTGTTAGAGACTTTATGGACCAATGGTTGATCAGTAACAGGAGTATATGGGCGTATTATTATGATATTAGACCATATATGGACTTCAATAATATTCTGCCACCTTTTGCTGGTAAACTACTTTAATTGGATACAAATTATACGAACAAATTAGAATGATTTAGAAATATATATTTAATATGGTTCAAATGTATATATCTTTTATGAATGAAAATTGATTTTAAATAAGTAAAAATTATTTCTAAGACAAGCTTTATTTTATAGCTAGTGTGTTTCATATTCTACATTTTAAAATCATAAATAAAATTAGTCCTACCTTTATTGAATATATAATGTTCTGATTTTATTCCTACAATACTTATTAATAAATAATGTATGGCCCAAAAAAAACTTTTTTTAGGTGTAGCAATGATGACGGCTCAAGGAACACTGGTGACTTTCGACAAACAAGTGTTCACGGTAACCGAACCCGGGACATTCCTCCTCACTAAGGATTACAGACAAAACAACTTCACCATACTAATGGAGAGTAACGATCAGGGAAGATATGACTTGGTTATATTGACGAAGAAGAATTTGGTCTTTATTGACCTGTACAGACAGGTGAGAATTGATTGTAGAAATAGTTTTAGTATCATACACAACTAATGACATAGTAGCTTACAAAACTAAATTTATACCTGTCTCTATAAAAGTTTCTTCTGTGAGAATATAATATGAATGATAATAATATATGTAATATGTATTAGAAATATTTTATTTTCTTGTTAATAATTTAATTTGAAGAAAATATGGTTATAATAGAAATAAGGCATAGACATAAAAATTTGTCAAAGATTGCCTTTTGACCATATTGGAAACCTTAGTTAAAAAAAAAGTAATATTATAATTTGGTCTCTTACAACAAAGTTAATTATCTGAATAAAACCTTCTTTGTCTTACATTTTATCTTACAATTTATCTGGTTTTATATTATAATGTTATAAATGTACATACATAAACCCATTATAACCCATTACACGTATATTAACCCATTTTATTTGTTTTTATATTATAATTATATAAATGTCTATGTATATTCCAGCAAGTGTCTCTTGGTAGGAGCATGCCTTTGAATCTCCCCGCAGTGATTGACGATCTGATAGTAGACAGACAGACTGACGTCATATCAGTTGAAGGAAACAACGGCTTGGGAGTGGAATGTAATCTACTGTACCATACGTGCAAGTTAGAAGTTGCGGGTACGTTGATATTTACACACATATACAGGGTGTATGAAAAACTGTGTCAACCCTTGAAGGCACGTATACATATAAGTATAAGCTTATTATAAAAAATAGTATAACTTAAAAAATATCAAGCAGAGGTCAGTTACAGTGCATATGCTAAATAAGTTTTAAATCGACATTATTTGAAAAAATGTTTCAAACATCTGACGTAATACAAGGTCAAGGCCCCGTATAGTCGCGACGACGCATGCGCGGCCTTTGATCGCAGGCGCCGGCCGCCGTCGTGGCGCACTCGTCTTTTGTTAGTGTTTCGAATAGAAATTTGCAAGTTTAAAAATTAGGTTTATCGATAAATATTCTATCGACATTTTCAATATTATTATAAGTAGTTGTACTTTTCACATTAAAATAATTTCATTTAAAATTACTTTTATTAATAATAAATATTATTAATCAATATTATAATTTGGAACGTCTTGAGATAAATTAACTATATTGTATTATAAGATAAATCGTTAATCTACTTCTGTTAATAATGGTGTTTTACAATCAAAAATAATACTAATGTGTGATATATCAAAATAAGTATCGAAATAATATGAATATTAAATATTTATTTATTGTTATGATTTTTTAAATATCGTTATTTTCAATAATGTGAAAGTAACTTCGAGTTCGTCACTAGTAGCGCAGCAGCTGTGATAACGTCATTGCGTGTCATCGTGTTATACCAGGGCTTACAAACATTTTGTTACTCTACATATAATAATCATTTAATATTTAATTTTATTATTTTTATTGAAGAGTTTGTAAATGTAAGTTGTTTAATTGTGTTTCATTTTCGATACTGATAACGTAGTTAAGAGGGTTGACACAGTTTTTCATACAACCTGTATATAGATTTTTTATTTCTTTATTGCACATAAAATTGATAAATGCACAAAAGGTGGGCTAATAATAAAACAGTATTCTCTACTAGCCGATACTAGTTGTGTAAGAAAGAGTGTATGAAAGTGTAAAATTTGTAGTATGAATTTTCGTAACATAATTAATTATTTATCTTGTACTTTGTTTGAATGTTTTTATTGGAATCAAGGAACGACGTGTGAAATACTAATTAAGAATGCATTCCTTAAGTCTTACACATTAAAAACTGCTATGAAATCAGTATTTATGTATAATTTTTAATTAGGTATTCTATATTAATATACACATCAAAGAAATGTACCAAATTAAGCGATTGCGAAAATACTATAACATTAACTTAATTCGATTTTATATCTTAAATAAAAAATATTTTCCCTAACCATATTATTTTCGGGAATCCTAATAACGTGTATTATTACTAAAGGTTGGTTCTACGCTAGTCTCGGCGGTCTTCTCGGTACGTACAATAATGAGCAGTACGATGAATTGCAACTACCTTCGGGAATCATGCAAACAGATATACAAGCTTTATCAAAATCATGGGCCATTCGTCACAGTAATGGGACCATCGCTGATAGAACAAATAACACGGCCTGTGATAAATTCTTCAGAAATAAAGTATCGCCGTTACATCCTTGCTTCACATTGGTAAGTAATGGACTATTTTTCAAGTATTTAGGCATTAATATCAATATTTTTGTGTGAATGGTTCAAAAACATATAAATTAATTAGGTTTTAACGTGGTTGGAAAATTTAAAGGAACACGGATAGAAAAAATTTAACACCATTTCTGCTTTAGCCGAAATATTTATTTTGTGGCTTACAATCTATAAAATAGTAATATAACCGTGATTTCTAAACTGAAATATAAATAGAAATAAAGAAACTAATTACTACTAGCCTAATAACATATATTTAATCAAATTCTGTACTTATAAAGACACAACAGCTCGACATAATTATTATTTAGGCTTAATCTAAGCTCCAACAGCTCGACTTAATTAACTCTAACTTCTAGATCGATGCCGTTCCGTTCCATACTGAGTGTATGTCGGGTGCCGACGCTTGTTCCCTAGCAGGTGCTTACCTACAGCTATGCGAACATCAACACGTGCCAGCGCATATACCAGATCATTGTGTACAGTGAGTATATACATATATTGGATGTTTGTTAGTGTTGCAAACAAAAAGTAATGAAACAATTTATATGAAAATTTATGGTTATGTGGCGTAAACATCAGAAAAATATATAGATTAAAGTTTATTTTAAAAAACTTAGTCTATGTTCTATAACTAATATTTTATGAAATATGTATCATGTATGAAGTAACATACATTATGTTCTTTTCGATTAATTTTAAAAAAGGCTGAAATTTATGTTAATATATGTAATATTTTAATTCCTTTTATACATTTCTCATTTCTGAGCGGAACTCTGATGTCCACGTTTAGAGAGTCCCATGCAAAAATAAGTATATATATAAAATATTAAATATATAGAATGTTTGCTAAACGTAGTCTCGGAAACTATTAGTCAGATTTTGTTGAAAAAAAAATATAACAAGGAATTGTTACCATCTATTGAAGTTTATATATAAAATTTCATAAATAATAACCATAAGTCAGAGTTGGGTTGCAATCACCCAACAGACAAGAAAAATTATGTATATATGTACATATTTGCTCGCTAAGTAAAACAACAATAAGCAATATCTTTAGAGAATTTGATGGCTATGAATTATCTTCATATAAAATCCTTCATAAATCTTTTCAGATGTACAACACCAACAGGAGACATCATTGAAGAAGGATCCTTCCTCCAACTACAAAACATTCCGTCTTCAATGGACGTGGTATTCGTGGTTGAGGCTCAGTACTGTAATAAAAATATACGTAAGGCCAAAAACATCGATTTGTTTGTCGAGACATTGGACAGCAAACTGCAAGGAAATGGGTTCTCTGATAACAGGTAAATAATTTTTTGGATCGTATTTTTTATAAATTACGTTAATATAACAACAGTTTAGTAATGCTTTGCCTCATTTTTTGTCTTACTTAGTCTAAGAACAGGTATGCTTAATTTATATTTATAACTAAATGTTTTACGCTTTATCAAGAAAGTTGTCCAAAGATAATACGGGAAAATTACTTGTCCTATATAATTTGAAACATTTTTATATATTCCTTCCATATAATGTTAAAGAAAAGAGTTTCTTATTAAATCTTATCTTATCTAATAATAAATTAAAGGTCAAAACAATCTAATTACAACCTTATGTGCAAGTAACATATATATATTTGCAATGAATTGCCCCTTAATTGAAATATAATCGAAAGTTCGTATCTTTTCCATTAAAGCAAGACTATTAAACTCAATGCAATCTAAGACTTTCTCAAGTATTCATTTTAATTAAACTAATATTTTCGGATTACTGCGTAATATTATATATATATATATATATATATATATATATATATATATATATATATATATATAATATTATATTGCTTTATATATTTGCAGATACGCTGTAGTAGTATACGGAGGTCGCGGTGTGTTCAGTCGCGCCCGAGCTCTATACGTCAACAACAAGCTGTTCACAGACGCTGTTGATATACCCAGATATTTTGAGGCATTCCAGATAGGTGAGGATTCATAATAATATTATTGCTCCTTTTTGTTAAACAACTAAAGACACTCGTTAGTAAATGTGCAAAAAAATTTTGTTGATGACATTCTTATCGCGACATTAGAAAAGTATGATTATTTCACCCAATCGAGTAGGAACAGAATAGCTGAATGTCACAGCTTCGAATTCTTCTCACGTCCTTGTAGTTTTCGCTCTATATCACCTAACTTTTAAACACATTTAGTTTAGAATTGTTTGACATTGTCAAAAAACTGCTATTTTTGAATTTTTTCTAATATCTGACGATATCATTGTTAGAAAAGTCATCATCTGATCGTAATCGTTCCTCGGAGGCGTTGCGTGCTCTACGTACAGTGAGTACACTGCCACTAAGAGCGGGAGTACCTCGGATTGTCATACTGTTACCGTGTGGCTCGTGTGGGAGTGGCGAAGAGGTTAGTTATTATTATTAATCTAAATTACCAAATAAATATCCTCTCGACATGTCCAAAAAAAGTCCTTTCTATGGATAGAAATTCTGTTCAATCTCCAAGTAACTATATTTCAGAATGTCTAAAAACTTACTATAGAATTGTCCAAGCAACTATCTATTTTTCGAAATGTTTTAGAGTTAAAGAATTTTTACAAAAACTTTTAAAACATCCAAGAAACTTAGTCTAAAATTGTCTAACAAGTATCTTCTCTAATCCTAATGTACAAGATCTTAGATTTACTGAAACAGTTGGTATACAGAAGAAAACTCATTAAAATCTCTTATAATCAATGAACTTAATTTTTTTTTCCCAGTTGGACTATTCAACTATATACCACAATTTAATGGAGAATTCGATCACACTCCACATACTTATGGACGGCGATTTTTCACTATCCAAGAAACGAGTCGCTAAATATTTGTTTGGTAAGAATAAATTTTCTCAAAAGAATAGGTATAAGTTGAAGTTTTATTACATATAAAGATTATTCTCTTAAAAGAGGTCAGCTTTTAATAAATACGTTAAATTTATCTTCATTGAGATTTTTATTTAACACCAAAAGAAAATTAATCTCTAAAAAGTATAAAATAGCGCTTAAATATAATCTTCTATATACAGGGTGACTGGTGAATTACTATCGATACTTGAGGACGTGATATTTGACGATCATATATGACAAAATAAAAATTAATATAACATAAATATTAATAAACTTCTAAGTAAAGTTAACCAAAAGTTATGTAATTAATTACGCATCGTGTGAACACCCTACAGATTAGGTATACAGTCACACTCACACATACGCGCGCGGCGGCGTAGTGTTGTATCAGCACGCCACCGCACGCGTCCACACTAGGAACACTTGGAACGTGTCAACACTTTATTTATTTATACGGAAATTTTGTCAAAAATTAAGTGCCTATTTTTTTTTACATAATTCGAATGAGAATCATGTACCGAGTATTCTCCTTAAATATTGATAGTAATTCACCAGTCACCCTGTATATAAAAATGGATTGCTTTTCCTTAGTCTCGCTAAAACTCGAGAACAGCTGACCGGATTTATCTTATCTTAGTCTTGAAATGTTCGTGGAGGTTCAGGGAAGGTATAAAAGCTGAAAAAAATTGATTCATTACTGGAAAAACCATAAAAATAGCCCTTTTCTATTTCCCGTACAAACGTTCTTTTTGACATTAGATTTGACAAATAACTAATATGTCAATCATTCTGTCGCAGTTCAAAACACGGAGATTTATGGCTTACAGGTAAACTCCAAAAATATAAATAAAGAAACGTAATAGATATTTCTTGATTATAGGGCGATACGAAGTTCGCCAGGTCTTCTAGTAGTCATTAAAACCTTAAATATACATTCATATTCCTTTTTTCATCCTACGAAGTTTTTCTAAATGTATTTATCTACTTATACTTCTTATTCTTATTTCCTAGGTATGGACAATTCCGTCGTCTACACTAATAAAGACTACGAGCGACTGACAGGCGACGCCGGGTTGAAGAAGCAAGTTAGATTACCAAAGGAAAAACTTGGACTATGTAGCTCGTTGGCGCTTGAAACTAATGGTATAACAATATTACATAATATACAGTAGACCTCTATAATCCATTTTACATATTTCTTACAAAAGAGTACCTTTTATTCTGACAAACTACAAGATTCTATAAAATGTTAAATTTATGTATTCCGAAGTGCAAGACACAGTTCATTTGTGAGTGAAACTTATTATTAGTATATACTTGTAGAAAATAACACGCTAAAACTTACATTTTATTATAAAATCAACGTCACTTATGCTATGCAATTTAAATCAGGACAGTAAAATATGCAATTGCTTTAGATCAGGGAATAATTATGCACAAACAAATGTACAAACTATAACAATCCGAAACTATGAACCATTGAATTTAAGAAGTATTTAAGTATTCGTAACTTCTTTATTGTTTAAAATTCTTGAAACTCGAGATAAACCATTCGTCAATCTCCTCAAAAGTAGATTCGTTGTAGATTACATTATTCTCTTCAGCCCATTACAAACACTGCTCAAAGGCGTTTAGTGCATCTTGGTCACTTGCGAAATAGTTGCAAATACTTCATCGTTATATGCTATTTTATATTTATTGTAAACTAGGTTTTATTGTAAACTAGCTTTTTTTAATTTCCCAGCCATAAAATCATCTTTTCTTATTATTTTTTAATATAAATATTTAGGTTTCATGGCCCAAAGAATAGAACATGTCAGATTACCGAGCTCATTATTTTGATTATTATTATTAAAATGTACATGAGATGGTACAAATAAGCAACGAGGGCAAGGGAGCAAGCCTATTTTATTTTTAAGAATAGGTAATAGTCAGCATTATTTTAAAATATTGCGCGTTACTAGTATGTAAGGAATTACTTAGATATAATTCTAGTTAGTTATCACTTTCATAACCCACAAAATATTTTAAGACGTAATAGGTTGGCATTTTAGAAATTCATTATTTTTGTTATTGCCATAGCCATAACGTTAGAATCTGAAATGTTTTTCCAAGTTTATGTATTCTACCTCAGTTGAATATTACACTCATTAATTTAATTTATGTATGTTAAGGTACAATATGGGCGGGTTCTAAACTAGAGTCTGACCGCGCGGCCGCTCGTCGTTTCTCGACAGTTTGCGGCGGTAGAGTTTCCCGCGTAACGCCGTGTGCTGCACCACGCTGCGAGTGCCGTAACGCAGCGCTACACTGCAGGCCGTGCGCCAATCATGATCCGGTAAGAATATATTGACCAATCAGAACTGAGTTTTAGATGCCAAGAGAAATCAGAATTGAATTTGTAATGCTACCGGACCAATCAATCAAAAGCTGGTATGGTTGCACGTAACTTGGAAAGATTTTGGCGTAGTGGGATTATGTTTGCGCATGTACAAATAGTGCAAGAAGAAATGGTCACTTGTAATGTTTGTTAGTAACGAATAACTCGTTACAGTAACAGAAATAAGGGGTTAAATTTAAGTGCACGCAAGTGTACTCAGGAACAAACGTCCAATTACGAGCACAGAATATCTATGACACCTAAAACTCTTTCCAAATTACGTGCCGGCTACTATACATCTCTAAAAAAAGTATCTTAATTAATCTACATCTTTTAACGATAATCTAATATTTTTTCAGTTGGAGCTATCTTTTTGGAACTCTGATGACATCGATGAACTCATCGACCTTGCAATGGATCCACCAACATTACCCTCGTTTAGATGATAAATAGATTTATTTACTGTATATTAACTTGTTTAATAGAAATATATTTTGTAAATTATTTCATTGTAGGACCCAAATTATCTTAATTCAGATAATATTAATAAAATTAACAATTTGATTTAATCAGTCTTTTATTTTTTATGTAATATGAATGTCATTCTAAGTTATGAGTCCAACTACTAAGTCTACAAAGCAAATTTGTTCCTATATTTACTATAAAAAATGCTACATAACAAGTAATTGAGCATACATTGTAATTAAAATAAATCAAAAAAGGAAAAAAGTTGGCAAACCATACATATTTGAGACAATACAAAATATTTTCCTAGTAAACAGTAAGTATGTAATGTACTAAATTTTGAAAACAATGTATTCATTTATAAACAGATAAACTTTGTACCAATGTGGCAAACAATTTTTTTTGTATAGGATCATAAGAACAAATTAGTAATAAAGCTTATAAATCTTTAATGGCATTAAAACAATTTAATTCTAATCAATGATAAATGTCTTTCTAAATTATTAGTAACAAATAACAATACTTTGGTTCGTCATAATAATCACTAATCACCACTTCTATTAACTTATAAATACAAGAATAAATTTCACATGGCATCTATCTGACCATTTTATATGCTATTGTAACTCCAACAACAAAAAGTAAGACTAAAGATGATTTATACAGGATCCTATTAATAATTTGACTCTGTCCTTGAATAGAATTAACAACTAAATTATTCATTATAAAAACATGATTGCTTTCTTCAATAAATTCAAGTTTCTCATCCTCAGTCATGTTTTCGGCGATTTCATTCATTGCTTGTTTCATTTTCTTTTTCAATTCTCCGATGTCAATGTTTCCGAAACATGTCACTCTGTCTTGATACTTCCGAGGTTTCTCTTGATCTGCTGAATATATAACAAGTATTACAATAACATTTTAATGTATGATCAATTATTTAAGGCCATTATTATGAGATATGAAAAAAAAAATTAAGGGTAATATTTGAACCAGCAAAACAGTAAAAGTAAGTATAAACAAAATTGTGATTAATTGAACAACACGGTATCAGTTTTTATATCCCTACTAATATTATAAATGTGAAAGTAATTCTGTATGTCTGTATGTCTATCTATCTGTTATGCTTTCACGCCTAAACCACTGAACTGATTTTAATGAAATTTGGTACAGAGATAGAGTTGACCTGGAGAAAAAACATAGGATAGTTTTTATCCCAGACTATTGAAAAGTTCTCTTGGAAACACGATATAACTCCACGCGGGCGAAGCTGCGTGTGGAAAGTTTGTATGTAATAAATAAACATACATACATACATGTGTAAATTATTAATTAATAATACAATTTGTATAAAAGTTTCTACAGAAAAAAATTATGTTTTACAATAGAAAATCCGAATTAGTCAAGAGCTCTCTTATTGAGTTCTAGATACAACTTTCAAGTATACAGGGTGACTGGTGAATTACTATCGATATTTGAGGACGTGATATTTGACGATCATCTATGACAAAATAAAAATTAATATAACATAAATATTAATAAACTTCTAAGTAAAGTTAACCAAAAGTTATGTAATTAATAACGCATCGTATGAACACCCTACAGATTAGGTATACACACACACACACACATACGCGCGCGGCGGCGTGTTGTTGTATCAGCACGCCGCCGCACGCGTTCACACTTGGAACACTTGGAACGTGTCCACACTTTATTTATTTATACGGAAATTTGGTCAAAAATTAAGTACCTATTTTTTTTACATAATTCGAATGAGAATCATGTACCGAGTATGCTCCTTAAATATTGATAGTAATTCACCAGTCACCCTGTATAATGCATAGTATTTATACCTTCTCCAAACAGATTACGTTTCTTAGCCAATATTTGACCACCACTTAGCATTCCTAAATATAAATGGTATATATATGCCAATAATAATATAGGCTTGTCTCTTTCCAGATTTCTTAAATGTTGTAAATAATTCTCTAGTTCGGGGGACTTCGGCAAGAGATGCCAATCATCACCCAAATATTCTGCTAGGTCCACTTCAAATTCATGTTTTCTGTAATATTTATTAAAGATGTGATTACGGTCAATATATTTATAATACAAATTTCACTTGATGAAAAATTTATGAAAGCAATAACATAAGATTTAATACTTATAAGTACAAACCTCTCCATGACTGGATCAACAAATAATTTTTTGAGTTCCGGCACATTTAACCTGTCCTTTGCATCTTCTAAATATGCAAAAATGTGATAAAACACGAATAAACCTCCACCCCAAACGGAAGGATCCTTTAATGCTATGAAAAAGAAGAAGATATAAGAAATTTGGTAAATAGATGATCATTAACAATAAAAAGTATTTACTTACACACTGCGAACTTCGCATTTACCAATGCATCACTAACGGAGTGAATTTTTCGCGTTTCGTAACGCATTCTTGTAGTGAACGATTCCTCTTTGGAAAACATCTTTTCTTCAAGCTTTAAAACTACTAAGTATGAGAACAAGAAAAGTGCTTGGAGAATGAGATTTAAAACTGCCTGTCACGCTCATTTGCTTATCCACAACCCTATCAGTTATTGTTATTTCTCATTCCAACCGACGGATATCTACAGTAAGTGACTTGAGATAGAAAACCTTATTATTTTATATACTTCAATATTAAAAAAGAGTTGATATGAAAGTCTATGGCAATAATACAAATACCTTCTTAATTGATCAATAATTATAAATATGTCAAAAATCAACATCTCAGTTCGGAATCCGAACTTCGGATTCATTACAATAACGTTTGTTATCTCAATTGTAAATATAATTTATCTAATTGCTTTTATCATGGACTCTATATTTAATTTTCATTAAAATAAATTATATATGAAATAAAACTAAACTATTGACTTGGCTTATAAATATTTAAAAAAAAAGTGGAAATAATAATAGAATTAATATGAATTTGATATCTTGAATATTATATAGGAAAATGCCTATTTTAAATATTTTAGTTTATGTAACACTTTGAATATTCAAATCATACGTGAATACAAACAAGATTTTAAAAAAATTAACATGCGATTAGCTGTTTATAATTATAATAATGGTAACAATATTATTTTTTGCACACATAAGTAAAAAAACAACTCAGAAAATCAGTAGTCGATTAGAAAAATATGTTTAGGAAGAAGTAGAAAACATTGAAATATAATTCTCTTATAAGACAATATCTTAGCAAAAAAATTAAGTTAATTCTAAAAGTAAAATTAAAATTGGCACGTCTCAACAAATATTCAATGTTTTACAAAAAAATATAATACCTTTTATTTCTGATATAAAATAATATTAAAATTTCAAAAACATGTTAATTCCCGTAATCGTAATTAATTCAGGTTTTTTCTAACTAATTGCTGTAGCTAATTCTTTTTACTTAATAAATAATTCTTAATGTTCAAAACTATTACTTAAACTGTTAAATAAAATTATATACATATATTGACTTTAATACTTATTTGTTTTATAAAATAAGACGTTGTTTTTTTTATATTTGCAAAGTAGAGTTATTACTTAATGTACACTGGCAACATTAGAAATACCATAGACGAAATATTGCCTCATTTCTTATAAAGATGGCGCTTGACGTAATTGGCACACTGAGAGTTTATTTACAGTACACTACGCTATCTCTGTCTCTCATTACTGATAAGCTTGCCTTATGAAAGAGATAGATAAGTTCCAGTTTTGATTGTAACGAATAATAACGAACTGTGGTATTTTACTCAATACTTTATATTTATTTTTAATAATTAAGTGTGTTATTAATTTTTATTATTACCAAATCATTTACAAAGATTAGTTAAGCTTTTAATTATCAGACTATATTGATATGGGCCTATTCCAATAGGAAGTTTGTAATATGGAGAATAATGCAAAGCCAAGGTATGTGTACTAATGTTCGATCAATAGTGTCGTCACTCGTGATTTTATAACCAAACTTCTTTATTTACTTGCAATAAATTAAATGTTTCTGTTGTTTATCTGTAGTCATTACTTAATTAACCGTTGTTTACTCATTTAATTTGATTCACATCACTCATAAAATAGCACAAGCTTAGATTTTCGTATATTAAATAACAGTATTCGCCGTTGGTTTAACGTTTTTCCTTCGAATTTGATCTTTAAATATTTAACGGATATATATTTTGAAAGGTGTTTTAATATTGACAATCTAGTGTATCCATAATATAAAGTTCTCAAATCATGGCATTCTTTAAACGTGTTAACTAATAGTTAAAAGAACTATACATAGTGTGAAGAAATATTGCAAGGTTCAATGTCGTCCATTATTACGCAATTGCAAGAATCACTGCAATCATTTAGTATAATACATATTCTTGTTTTATACACTCAATAATTTGTATAATTCGGAATTAATATATACATTTAAATCTTTGATCACTGCGATTGAGGTTAAGTTTAACCTAATGTTAATCTTATCATATCTTTATCGTGAGTAATACGTATGAAACTGCATTTAATACATAACAAAGGCATATTACCTGTTTTAAACGTAATTAATATGTTAGTTTGGCTTTTACTCGCTTATAATGTTAAAGGACATGACATTTTTGTAGTGCGTTATTCTATTTTGAGACAATTTCGTGCTGTTCCTTACATATATAAATAACATTGTCATTTGTCGGTAAAAAATATATCGTCATTGGTTTTATTAATTAAATAGCACTTTCTATGTGTATTTAAACCTATATTATATATTAATCAATACATACACATGCCTAACGTATATCATTACGATAAATGTGTTTTGTTATAAATACAAATTTAAAATTAAAATATAAGAGTTATTTTTAGGTTGTAATTTCGCACTGTAATCGTAGAATATTTTGCCAATTTCAAAAGTCCTTGAAGGAAAAGCGGGAATTTAATTGATAGTTCATTTAAATTAGTGTTTGACAGATTAAGAAAAGTGATAACCAAATATTTACTCCAATTTACATATATCTGTATTTGTCTATGACATATTAAGTACATTTTCGTATTTCCCGATTTTAATATTAACTTTATATCATATGATTAGTAAAATAAAATACATTTCATCATAATATTTACTTCATACAGTTTTTCGTAATATTAAAAATGCTCTTCTAATATATTCGTCATATTTGAAACAAACTTTACATCTACCAATTGGTGACTTTGGTTTTACGTCCGTCATTTTGGTTTAGTATAAAAAATTTGGTACATAGATTTTTTTATCAAATCTCCTTGGGAACATTTTGAAACGTGTATTTGTGATAGGAAGTTAATATGAGTATTTCGTTTCACTTTTTTATTGATTTTATTTTTATTTCTATTTAAAGATTTCATTTTTTATAGAGCCAAGTTTCCATTTTATTCTTTTAAAAATTAAAAATGTCTCGAGAATAATATTATGCTTTCGTGTTCATCATATGTTATAATTAATATATCGTTATATGTTGTGCAATTATAACAGAGGATATAGTAGATTTTCCGTCACATATGCATTTTTAGAAGTGAGGTCATGATAAAATTATTTATGGAATTATCACAATTTCAATTTATAATTAAATAATACCATATTGTACTTAATAATCGATATTGGTTTTAAAAATATTTAATTTAATTATATGTTAAATTGATTTTTTGGTTAGAAAAATTTAATATAATGGCAATGAAAGTCAAAATATGAAATACTAAAAATAAAGAAGTATAGATAATTTTATTAACTACAGTAGATATATTTCTACATTTTATTAATTTTTAAATAAAAAAAAACCATGGTTAATTACGTCGAGTTAGATTTTGTTGCATTAATTGTTTATCTTAATTTATTTAATTACTTAAAATTTATTACTTATTGCTATGATTACTAAAAATTATCTACTTAAAATTTAAGTTACAAAATTATACATAATTAAAGTTATTAATCTTGTCTTCTATAGCATGGAAGAGCAAGGCACGAAATCCTATCTACAGCACCAGATAGATAAACTGAAGGCGTTACAAGCGAAGCTATCTACCGAAGTTGAAGAGGATTACGTTATTATTAAGGAGGAAGCGTAAGTATTCACTGAATAAGTTTTATATGCGCACTTATAGAAAATTAACAGTGCGTGGAGTCCTTCCGCGCGGAAGAAATGACACTTCGTCATGTTAGAAGTAAGACTTGAGGGGTAGGAATTGATTTTTTTAAGGAATATTTAGTGTTTCTTTAAGATAAACTTTAATAACATTACTTATATTTGATAGCTGTCATGCGTTAGCACCACGCATTAAGTCTCATTTATCAACCTCCCTCCATTGAGTGTTAAACGTTTAACGCAACCTTCTTAGATGTCGCATAAGAAATTTTTATAACACGTTAACTCTGACGCCACAGCCCAGTTCGTGAAGCGGCGGTATTTTTATTAAAGGTCATAGATTCTAACCTATCCATGCTATTTTTATACATGATTTGATACTTATAAAAAACATTCCCAAGTGAATTCTAAATCTTAATGTCTATAGAAAAATTAAGTGTACCTCTATTATTATATAAATTTTTATTTTATATACTGAATATGTATAATTTATTATTATACATTAAATGCAATAATTTATTTATTTTTAGTATTTGCTACGTGAAGCCATGTAATGGTAACATTACGTAAATAGCATTCTTAGGCGGCGTTTTTTCCATTGACAATTCTACATATTTTTAATATTCAAACGTACTTATATATTATTAGAAAATTAAGAGGTCCCGAAATTTTGTTTATTGGAACATTACGATACTTTTAAAATAATCTATAATAAAAGCAAATGATCACACTCTTTTTAATAGAATTGACAAACATGTTGATTTAAAAAGTTCCTAAAGCTGGAAGTGAACTATCCGGTGCGGGATGATGTCATTTATTAATATCAAATATTAGCATATATAAATATTATACTTGTTTAAATATTTTTTATACATTAATTTCTAAATAACTTCCAAAAATGGTATTTACTGCAAAACTAGTTACAGGAAATGCCTTTAAATAAAGTGAATGAAAACCATTAACATCGGAATTCCACGGCCATTGCCGGGGCAAGCCGAGGGACAAGCTCCCGCCTGCCTCGTCCCTTTGTCGTTCGTTCGCTCAGTCCACACTTAGTACTGGCCGCACACACTACAGCTGTGATCTTTAAAAAAAATATATACATTATCTATGGTATAACACTTTTCGCGGCAAATTATTCAGTCAATTATTTTTCTAATGTTTTACGTGTAATATAAGTGGTTTAAATTGATTATGTTTCGCGATGATACTAAGGTCAAATGATAAGGGTGGGTAATTTCGTCGCGAGCCTCGTAACTAGTGTTTAAGAGATGCAATTTCAAAGTAATGAAGAAGACGATTTTCAATATCGGATTTTTGGAGAATCCTTCAACTTTCCAACCGAAAACAAATCGACCGGCCGGCGTAAAAAGTAAGTTTTATCATACGTTCATATGTTTAGTTCAAAATATATATGTATATCCTTATCTTTATTAGATGACTATTCTTTGAATTGACCCCGTAATAATTACTTAGAAGCACGGAATTAGATTGCTGGTAGATATTTAAATTCACTATTTATTATAACCTAAAAACTATTTGTGACGATGTTTTTGCCAATTTACGTACGTCTTCGTGCTTCTTAATCTAATATGTAGTAAATCTCATCGCAATGTATTTATCGTACCTACAAAGTAACACCATAAATCTTGTACGTACCTTTTGTTTCTGATTCATCATTAGGCTTTTAGCACGTTTTTAACATTCCACGCCAGCTAATTTTTAATTCTTGTCGTGAGTTAATAATATATTTATTACTATAATCCTCTTTTATTCATGTTATAATATCCGTATTAGATTGAATACTTGAATTCATTCCCAAATCGAAATTTCGTAAAAATTATGATCCTTTTTATTCATTCCATACAAATAGCTTTCTTAATTTAACACATTATTTCTTATAATAATAGCAATATATTTGTATTGTAATGTTTAATTTTTATATAAATGTGTATATATAACGTCATAATACTTTAAATCTACTGGCTTTAAACCAGTCCAATGATAAAAACTTGTATATGGCGTCTGAGTTACCTAAATGGATATCACGTATGAAGATTATGAACCACTGTAGGTATCTTCTTATTTCTTACCAACACACCGCCCTGTTCACACGCTAGGCTAACGAGATTAATAACTTTATGATATAGTCTAATAAAAGATAAGTCTGAGACTTCCAGTCTCTACGATAAGATAGGTAATGAAGTCTTAAAATGAGTGAACATTAAGAAAAATTAAATATGATATGGAATTAATATCAAAGTTTTGTAACTTACTAATATATCTGGAAACCATAGTTATAGAATTATCGTCTTAATTAATCTTTTCACTTTTCATATCAATGCCAATAGGGTACATCTTTAAAGGAAATTCCGAAATACGTACAGTAACCAGCAAAGCTATCTAGTCATAATCGTCATTTAAATTCAATCTATTTTTACTTATATTACCAAAAGAATAAAGTATCATTTCATTTGTATCTATAAAGACAATACGAACCGGCTTTTGATGATAAAACAGCTGTTTATTGCATTCCACTGCGAAGGAATAAAATATTAAATCACGTGTTTTTCGCATGCTTTAGTTGGTTAGTACTTTAGTGTAAGCTAAGTCTTTAGTAATTTCGGTGATGTTACATTTATAATATAATCGATATATTTGTGAAGTCTTTTTGCTTAAAAGTTTTTAAGCCATATCTATTTAAGCAGGCATTGTACGTGGGACCTTGACGCGCTTCCAAGGTTTCTTTGATCACGCTGAGTTGAAGGTCGCATTTAAATTTTGGCTATTGTAGCCAGGTTGTACATCCTTTAAAGTGTTTACACCCTCCCGCCATTTTAACTTGCGATGGCTAAAGATTAAATATATAGATTATATTAAATGTTGCCACCCTAATGGTTGAATATACACGAAATATTACTATTATTAACAATATTTGTGTTTAATTTATTTTATTCTAAGTATATGACACAGTCGACTTAGCAAATTAGTCAATCTTTTTGACATATGATCAATCAATTATATTTAAAAATCAGCATTTGTGGCTTGGGAGTTGAGATACTAATAAAAATATATTTTTAATCATGTTCCGGACAAACACACTGTTTTTACGTTATATATTAAACAAATATGTTAAAAAATATAGTTATTTGCTTCTACCTATATATAGCCTTTAATAGCAAACAAAGTTAAACCATTTCATTGCCTCTTACAATATCTTTTTTTAAACCTGCCCAAAAAAAATTAAACTGGTTTATCTTTATTATAAATTCATAATACAGACTCCTTTAATAAAATACTTATTGTAAATTTATTTTCATATTAATACGGTCTGCGATATATTGTAAGCGTTTCAAAATTACCCTCGATCTACATATAATATGTCGTAAATAAAGTTACATATTGACCACGAATTAATAAAAGCATTTGTATTACATTATAATATATGGAACAGTAAAAAATAATACATTTCATTTTCAAATTCAATCATTTTATATTTGATAAATTTTATTTTTAGCCTATAATTAAATTATATCGATGATAAAAGTCACGTGAACCAATTAATAATATTATTTAAATTTGAAGGTATTCCTAAATAAATTTTAAACCGGTATTTGAGGTATACTAATAAAATTATCACAATTATATCACCATAAAAATAATGATTTATTAATTAAAATTTTGTCGATATAAACTCATTCGATCGAATAATTTTCATGTGAGAATCGTTCGTGTATGTATTATTGACCCCGAGGTAAACGACATGGAGGGTGGCACCCCCGAGTAATTATGTGCAGATGGTGTCAAGGTGTACGTTAGGGATGACCTTTGTTATCGATGGAATTGCACGATAATATACCTAGGAACATAGGAAAGCTAAATGCTAATTAAGCGCTTTAAATGACACCGTTTAAAATACTAGCTTTCAGAAATATTTTTATAGTATATTTCAGTTCTCGATAATAATAGCACATCCCTATCTGTGATGTTCTATGAATGTAGATTTGATTGGGGTGCACTTTCACACGATGCAATATGCCGTAGGCTGTAATAATATTCGTTCAATAAACTCAGTTTTTGTCCCGTGACATTTGGATACAAAGTTTATAGATAATATATTGCTTAGAAAATAAGGGTTATAACACATCGGATATATTTATACCTTCCGAGTTGTACCGGAAATGGTTGAATGGTTCAACATTTATTTATATTTAGTGTTTTTTATACACTTGATTAGTTCTGGACTTCGTATATGTGAGTTACTTCAGATTTTTTTGTCTTTAAATATGGTTTTAAAAGCTTTAGTTCACCATGTGTAAAATTGTGTCTTATATTCTATAATATGTCAGTTAAAATAACTTCGATTTTTAGTTAAAGATTTCAACATTCAGCGATAGTACCTTGGCAACAAATAATAATAAAATTTTGTCCACGTGTCTGAGAAGGCAGTATTCTGAATAGAACAGCTGTTTATAGATACATAAGTTATACAAAGAATCTTTAAGAAACTGGGGTAGCGAGGGTCTTACAAATTTTTTTGCCCGAATTTTGCGATAACTTACATTGATGGACAACCTCCATTTGCAAGAGACAAAGTTCAAATGACATGTTGGCTATGATCAACGCGGTCACGGGATTCGAAATTCGAATGTTCCAAATTGCTATGAAGTTTTATGTCGTCTATTTAATTTCTTTGTATCAGATGACATTTGTTTAATAATATCTAAACTATTTACGAATTTGTGTCGTTCGAAATTTGAATCTTTCAAATTATTCTTTTTAAAATTCTTGCTAATTCCAATTTCCAAATTCAAATATACATTCGAATTACAAAATAGTCATATTCGATATTATTCTAAAATACTCCCAGATATAACAATTTTATTTGAACCTTATTTTTTTTAATAACAAACATTTTAGCATATCAAAGTTTATTATATAGAACATATACGGCGCGTGCGGTCCGACCGGTGTCATCTGACAGCTGTACTGTCTTTTTTTTTAACTTTTTATCTATGATCTTTAGTACAATTTAATTTCTTTTAGCTAAGGTTTCTTAGTGACCCCTGTAAGGCGTTTTAAAGAGGGTTTTGTTGGTAGCTAAATGTTTGCTACTTCGGGTTCCTACAATTAGTCCTGTTTGTTATCAAAACTGGAAATAAACTAGACATAACACACGCCGTAGACATAACTTAGTATTTAACAGAACTTGTAAATTAAACAACACTTATCGTTAGTTAAGGAAATAGTTATTCTAAATAAATAGTAATTTATCCACCGGATGCGGACTCCGTGTAATAAGTGATTCCATTTTATATAATTATAAGACTCGTATGTCGCTATGCCTTTTTCCGTGACTTTGTTTGCTAATAAAAGACTTAGAGGAAAAGAGGAAAAAAAGTAGCAATTATATTTGCCAGCTTAAGTCATTGTAAGTATTATGTCTTCGTGAAATTACTTTCCCATGACTGCTTGAGACTGGTGTTTTACTATGAACACGTAAAATTACTTTAGCATTAGCTTAGCCGAACTGGTTTAAAATGGATTAAGAATTGTCGAATTTTTCGTTCTTTAGAAACGTAGTTAATCAAGTTTAACTTTGTGCTGTGTTTTCGATAAATGTTGGTAAATACGATTTTAAATATAGATTTTATACGATAATACACGTTAAAATTAATTTATCCTCTACAATAACCAATCAATGAATAAAAAGTAATAGTGTCGGTTTTTAGTTTAAACGAATTAATACTTAGAATAAGTTATAAATATCTTCTAATAGGCCTATGGCAAAAATATATAACATTATTTACTTCGCCACTTATATACTATGTATATATATATATATATATAAATAAAATTGTTATGTACTAAATATAACCTTATGAAATGACACGTCTTTTAAATTTCTTTATCTAATGCGGGTGTGAACATTCGCGAACCCGTATGCCGTTTTAATGTTTGAAGTAACTTTTACTATCTCTTACTTTACTTTATGTGGGCCTTGAATATTTATGGCCAGTACATTTCAGACCGACATATAATGACATCATGTTACTACTTAAATCCCTACTTAATATTATAAATACGAAAGTAACTCTGTCTGTCTGTTACGCTCTCATTCCTAAACCACTGAACTGATTTTAATGAAATTTGGTACAGAGATAGAGCTGACCTTGAGAAAGAATATAGGATAGTTTTTATCCCAGAATTTTGAAAGGTTCTCTTGGAAACGCCATATAACTGAGCTCCACGCGGGCAAAGCTGCGGTCAGAAAGCTAGTATAGTACATGTTGAGAATCTAAAAATAACAATGATATCTAATAGGTTTTTTTTAATTATTAATGATTATTGTAGAAATTTCTGAACCTATTA